GTGATTCATCAGGGGTCTATCTCTTTCTAACATATTGTATGTGTCTATACACACTTCTCTCGTACGCATTGAACACAGGCCGTCAATCAAATTTAGTTCTCAGTGTTTAGTCTCAATTCAAAAAAACGGGACAAATTCACCATATTTTAAAAGCAAAAAAATATATATTGCACATTCACCATATTTTGAACGCAGTTTTGTTTTCTGCGCTACTATTGACGTCTCCGGCCAAAGTAGGGAGCGCGTTCACCATATATACTAAGTGACATATAAATCCGAACACCCAGTTTAAATGGTTTTATTTTAATAAAATTTTCTATAAGTACTTAATGAAGCATAATAAGTAAATGATAAAAATTTCAAAATGATTGCACTGCTTTAAAGCCCTTTGACCTTTAATAATGTGTGGATGCACCCTGATGTGCTACGCATTCTCCAACGCGCCTAGGCATGCTTCTGATCAGGTGGTCAATATTCTCCTGTGGTATCTCATTCCAGGCAACCACCAACTCCTCTCGAAGTGCTTCTAGAGTCTGAGGAGGACGTTGCAAATTGAGCAATCTCCTACCCATCATATCCCACACGTGCTCAATTGGGGATAAGTCGGGAGATCTTGGTGGCCATGGTAACAATGTGACATCATTATGTTGAAAGAAGTCTATTGTGACTCTTGCAACATGTGGTCGGGCATTATCTTGTTGGAAAGTTGGATCTGCCAGGGTGTCAAGATAGGGTAAAAGATGGGGTTCTAGAACTTCGTGAATATAACGCTGCGCGTTCATGTTACCTCTGATGAAGATTAAAGGTGACCTGGAACCATAAGTTATAGCACCCCAAACCATCACTCCAACAGTGTGATGAACATGTCTTTCAACAAAAAACTGTGGATTCCTCCTTTCACCACGTCGCCTTCTAACCCTGGCACGACCATCGTGCATGCCTAAAGAAAATCGAGACTCGTCACTAAAGACAATACTGTTCCATTCCTGATCCCAGAGTGACTGTTGTCTGCACCACTCAAGGCGATTACGTCGGTGTTCTCGAGTTAAAGGGAGGACCCAGTGTGGCCGGTATGAAAACAAGCCAAGACTTCTCATTCGTCGGTAAACACTTCGCATGCCAATAGGTCTTCCGTGTTCTGCAAACCATTCATTTGCAATGGACCTGGTAGTGGAGAAACGGTCCCTTAAGGCCAATAATCTTAGGCGGCGATCTTCACGGTCTGTTGTTCTACGGCGGCGATCTTCACGGTCTGTTGTTCTACGGCGGCGTCCAGTGCCCCTTGCTCTTTGCGTACGGCCTTCTCGAAGCCATGCCTGACAACACCTAACCACAGTGTCTACACTTCTTTGCACTCTAACTGCAATTGCCCGAAAAGAAAGTCCAGCTTCCCGAAGTCCCACTATACGGCCCCTATCAAACTCACTAAGTTGACGAAATCGTACAGGTCTCCGTACTCTAGGCATCGTAACCGATCGTAAAGGATGTCAAGAACCAAAATCCGCCAACGTTGATTCTTTACTGCGGCTGAAATATTCATTTTTAGAGCGTTAATGAATTAAAAAAAGCAGTATAAAAACCGGAATGTCCAACTGATAAGGCTGAAATTTTTTTCACTTGTTATTTACAGTAAGATAAATACATTCACCAACTTTTATTAAAATAAAACCATTTAAACTGGGTGTTCGGATTTATATGTCACTTAGTATATTTAAATGCGGGTTTCTCGTCTGTCAATTCAAGATCTCCGTCTAAAGCATGGAGTACTGTTTCGATATTTTTAAACGCGGGTTTCCTACCTATGCCAATGAAAAGGTCTTCGCTTAAAGTACGGAGTACATTCACTATATTTTTAAGTACGGGTTTCTCGCATATGCCAACATAAAGTGTACGACCGACATACAGAGCACATTCACCACACTTTTAAATGCGGTTTCTCTTCGGTCAAAAAGTACTTAAAGTACATTTACCGTATTTTTAAATCCGTGATGCTCGTTTAAGTCAACACGTATCCGCAGAAAATGCAAGGCATTCAGCCTATTTTTAAATGCCGGTTAAACCCGCTACCATTCATGCGTCCATCCAAAATGAGCACATTCGCCATATTTTTAAATGATATACGACTCTACATACGCTTCAAATGCATCCAACAGAAATTAGGAGCTTATTTTTTAAACACCTACCGAAAACGGAGCACATCCATCATATTTTTAAATGGGAGTCTGTTTTCTGCGTTGCTACAGATGTCTCTACTCAAAATACATAAATTCAGCATATTTTTGAAGGAGAGTTTCTCGCTTTGCAGCTTGATATTGAAGATTTCCGTGAGTCATCTCATTTATTTTCCATCTGACGCTAGTACAAGACTGATTATGTATAATTATTATTGAAAATAAATGACTTTTGAGGTGGGGGCATTGAAGCCGAATATCACCACCAAGAAATCGTGAAACGTCGTGGCGTAGGAGTTGTAGAAAATTGGTCGTTTAGTTTTCTCAGGAAGCAAACTTTTGTAGAATATATAGAATAAAAACGGTGTGTATTTTTAGGTCTCGCTATATTTTTCGATGTATTTTTTTATCCACGAATCTGTGGGTTGCCGGACAAATAATAATAATAATAATAATAATAAATGTCTTTATTAATCAGCATACATCAGTGAGGCGAAGTTTAGCCAAATGGCTACTCTTACACTTAACCTCACTGTGTACGAAAGAGTAACACAGTTAAACTCGATACACAAACAAACAATAGTAATAATAAGAAAAAGAAACAAATGCACACTTGAACTATTAATATAATAATAATAATAATAATAAAGTGTCATGAAAATAAAACAAACCAACAACTCAAACACTGAGAGACGATTGCATCTCCAATAGCTGTTTTCCAACTGATTTCTTAAAAGAGAGTAAACTTTCTTGTTTGTTAGCCGCACTGACTGAATTGTAAAGCTCAACAGCATTATACGTGAAAGATCTCTGATATAATGAGGTGTAGTGAAGAGGAATATTGAACTGTTCATCATGACGTAACCTTCTTGAAATTAAATTCCTACGCGGAACTAACTTATTTGCAAGGTAAATAGGTCTCTTGGTAACGACTTATGTACAAAAACCAACATATGAAACTTGAAAAGATTATTGAGCTTCAGCCACCCCAGCTTACAGATCTTGGATGTAACATGGCTATACCTACGAAGGCCGAAAACAAAACGACAACAACAATTTTGAATTTTCTGCAATCTGGTTTTTGTTATGGAGTCAAGACAAGGATAAAACAGTAAAGCAGCTTAGACATAACTAAACTTTCCACCAATTTCTTTCTAGTCTTGAAATTGAGAATAGAACGATTGGAGTATAGGAGTCTTAGGCTTGCATATGTAGCTTTAGATATATTACTGACGTGGTGATTAAATCTAAGATTTACGTCTAAAGTAACACCTAGACTTTTTGCATGCGTGACGAGTGGAATATGGTCATTATTTACCCTCAAATCAATCATCCTTTCAAAATGCTCATAGCTGGTTTTGGGACAGAACAACACCGCAAAACTCTTAGTAGGATTGAGCTTCAAACAGTTAGCCTTGCAATAGTCAGTTATATTTACCAGATCTAAATTTATTTTATACGAAGCTTGATCCACATTAGTAGAGTCAAAAGTGAAGGTCAATTGTGTATCGTCTGCGTAAGTATGAATACTACAAAACTGTAATACAGTATGCAAGTCAAAAGTATAAACTAAATATAGTAAAGGACCAAGCACGGAACCCTGAGGAACACCAGAAGCAACATCGGCACTAAGAGAAACTCCTTGGCTTGTTCTTATTCGTTGCTTGCGATTATTTAAGTATGATTTAAAAAAGCAAAGAGGAACGTCAGATAGTCCGTAGTATTTTAATTTGGATAGAAGCATTTCGTGGTTAACCGTATCAAATGCCTTTGAGAAATCTAACCACACCAGCACAGTCTAAAAATGATTGTCTAAGTTAGAGATAATCTCATCAGTTACGTGTAATAATGCAGATGTTGTGCTGTGACCACTACGCAAACCAGACTGACAATTTGGAAATATGTTGTACTCTTCAAAATATTTTACCAATTGCATATAAACAATTTTTTCCAATATCTTTGACAAGGCACACAATATACTAATGGGTCTCAAATCCGAATATTCTGTAGGATTATTATTCTTAGCCATTATTATTCTTAGCCAGAGGAGTTATAACAGCCTCTTTCCACAAACTTGGAAATACTCCTTTTTCTAAACAAAAATTGACGATATGTGTTAGATGAGGTAACACTTCAGGAGTACACAAATTGATCATTCCTATGTTAATTCCATCACAACCAGTTGCTCGAGATTTGATGGAAATTATAATATCTAAAACATCTTCTGGGGTAACTAAATGAAAGTGAAAGAGCGGAATGTCTGAATTAAAAGAACTTGAAATATATTCATCTACCGTACGATTTATAAGACGGGAATTAACATTATGGGATATAAAATTTGATAAAAAATAATTGTTAACTTCGTCAGGATTGAGCAAGTGTGGGGGAATTTCTGCCTTATTTTTTTGGTAAGCTCCAAAATTTCTTAAGTGGTTCAATATCAAAGTAATCCAGGCACTAAAATGCACATCCACCAAAAATACAAAAAAGTGTGCATTTAGTGCATAAATTATTTTCATACTTGAGCAGCGATACAAAATTCTGACTTAGAATCGTGTTGAGCGGAAAATAAGTTTTTATTTTGTAGGCCTATGTTATCGACAGCTTATATTAACTGCATCTACATTTTTTCTTTAAAATCAGACTGCATTGTTGCTTGGGAATGTCCCGATTCTCAAAACAAATTATTTCTATTCTGGAGCCTATTTTGGGGTCCCGTTAGCGCGAGGTCGCACTTGAATAATCACGGCCCCCGTTCCTGAATAAAAGTATGCGCTTTTGCAAAAATAGCTTTTATTATTTCATTTTACTATAAGCAAATATCTAAATACTCTTTACAATGGGAGAATAAATAAGTTAAAAAAGGAGTCGTACAAATGATAATGTTTTATTAATGAGTGTGTGCTCTTCATAAATAACCAATGCTGAATTTTTACAAAATTATAACAATATCACTTTTCTTTTTTCGTAAAAATCGTGTGAGCACAAAATAAAAAAATGCACAGCATGATGTGGTAATAACCATAAAAAACAGATTACGTACTTAATCGGTTTATGAATATGATTACTAAATTCTATCTTAATTACAATGAATACGTTTTCTCATATAAACTCTCATCAAATGTACACAATTTTGATTTAAATTATCATCCGTCTTTAAAAATAATAAACTTCATAAAATCACTGTGTTGACCGCACTGAATTATTTGTTGAATAACTGTGCTCTATACTGTCTATCTCAGCCCAGGCCGTTCTCACCTCCACGAATAACTGAAAGAAAAAAAGTTTCATTTCAAAATCTATAAAACGAATCATGTAGGATTTACAAGGTATGTCGCAAGGTAAACGGGACAAAGAAAAAAATGAACAAACATTTTTTTTTCGGAAGATCGAATTTATTTTATTCAAAATAATCTCCTTCAGAGTTAATACAGCGATTTGCACAGACCGGGATAACCTTCAAAACGAACAGAAAATAGTCATACGGTGCCATTTCAGGAGAATATGAGGAGTGGTTGATGATTAAAATGCCATTTTTTTTGTCAAAAAATCTGACACAAGCATTCTTCGCGAATTCTGGCCCAACACGACGAATACGCGACAGCAAACGCCTCATAACACCAAGATAAAACACATCATTAACCGTTTTGACCCAGTGGAACGAATTCTTTGTGAATAACGCCCTCCGAGTCGTAGAAACAAATCACATATTCACTTTGGACTTTTCAAAACAGCATTTTTTAGGATTTGGCCTTGGATGCTTCAATTCGGCACTTTGACGATTGGTTTCGGGATCGTATTGAAAACACCACGTTTCGTCACCAGCCATAACGTTGTGCAGAAAGTTTTTGTCCTTTTTTGCCTCTTTGATGATGTCTCTCAAATGTTAAATTCGAAGTAATTTTTGATCATCCATGAGCTTGTGAGGAACAACCGTGAAGTTTTGGTCAAACTGCGATATAATAATAATAATAATAATAATAATAGCCTTTATTTAACCTGGCGGGTGTCACCTAATAGCTGTTTTTCATACCAACCAGGGCCAAACAAAATTATAATACAAAATCTAGGAGACATAAACATTGTTGAGTAACAATAATGAAAAATCTATTATGCCAAGAATAGGCATTTTTTTAATTTAAAGAAAAAATCATATATATTCACAGTTAACAGTTACACCATTACATAAGTTAAAAACTAAATAATATAAGGTATTATGACATATTTTCAAAAACAAATTTTTTTACTTTTGACCTAAAAAGTGGAACAGATAAAACTTTAAAGCTGACAGGGAGCATATTATAGCGATTGGGTGCAACAAAAGAGAAACTCTTAGTAAATAGGGTGGTTCTATGATGGGGCGTGTTAAGGGTGTAACCAACGAAACGGAGGTTGGCTGCATGATGCTGACTTCTCAAGGATAACTTATTATTTAAGTATATAGGGTATTTGGTCAATAAAATGCTATGAACCAAACATAAAATGTGAACCAACCTCATCGTCAACCAATTCACTTCTTGAATAAATGGAGACACTCGCTCCCTTCTTCGGATTTCAACAGAATATCTAATACAGCTGTTCTGCACTTTCTGAAGTCTGTAAGCTTCGGCTTCAGTCAAACAAGGACCAAACACGGAACTTCCATATTCTAACTTACTTAAAATGAGTGAATCGCAAAGCTTAATTTTAGAATAATGAGCCAACACGTGCTTAAAGCTGTAGATGCTTTTTAGTTTAGCAAAAGAGCTCTGTACAACCTTAGAAATATGATCATGAAAAGTTAAGTGCTCATCAAAGATTATTCCTAAGTTTAATACCGATATTTTGTGTGTGAGCTCTTCACTATTGAGGCATAGCTTTATAGCATCTCCACTGAACTCGTTCTTCTTAGATATATCTCTATATACTGAATCTTTAGAGATATTTAATCATTTCTATGTATCTCAATGAAGATTTTGGATCATTTGTGAGAAATTCACGCACTTTTTCGACGGTTTCTGGCGTAAAAACAAATTTTGGCTGGCCAACATGTTCGTCGTCTTCCAGCGACTCACGACCCTCTTTGAACCGTATAAACCACTTGGCTACGAGATAAAAAATAATCACCAATATCACCCTACACTTGCATCAATATCTGATGCGTTTCGGTAAATGTTTTACCAAGTTTAACACAGAACTGAATATATACCGGGTGCGCCATGTTTTAGTCGGTATTGAAACATCGAATGACTTTGGTATTTACCTATTTACCAACCGAGTGAATTAGGCTATACGTGTTTCAGAAACGTCGATTTACTACAATTTTAGTCATGAATCGCTTTACACCGAAACAACGCGCCGAAATAGTCACAATGTACATTGAAAATCGTCGTTCAGTTGTGTTATCGTCGAAAATATCGTGGCAAAGACAACGAATTTTCTTGAGTACGGGACAGTGGGAGATCGTCAACATACAGTTCATCAACGACCAAGACGTTCCAATAAATTGGTTGAAGTGGTCAGAGACAGCGTTGCCCAGAACCCAAAAGTGTCGTATCGTCACCGCGCTCAGCATTTTGGCATCAGTGGAACCACGTTGCGGCGCATTTTGAAGGATGATTTGCATTTGTTTCCTTATACAGGGTTTGTCCAGAAAGTAATAGGACTGAGTCGATCGAGATGCCAGCCTTGGTCAGGTAGCTGTTCACAAGAAAGGCGGTGTGAGCCGGGGCGTTGTCGTGGTGCACCTTCCAGTCGGCTGCGATGTCTTGTCGGACGCGACTGACTCTTCGTTTGAGCCTCCTGAGCACTTCCACACGTAAAACTTGGCGTTGACGGTTTGTCCAGGAGGAACAAATTCATGGTGAACGATGCCTTTGATGTCAAAAAAGACAATGAGCATCGTTTTCACTTTGGATTTGCTCATTCTTCCCTTTTTTGAGCGAGGAGACGCCGTCGCGTGTCACTCGGAAGATTGCCTCTTTGTCTCGCGATCATACTCAAAGATCCACGACTTGTCACTTGTGATTACGTTATTCAAAAATTGGGGGTCACTTTCACACATGTTCAAATTTTCTTGGCACACTTCCACTCGCCGCATTTTCTAGTCGTCAGTGAGCACTTTTGGGACCATCTTCGCGCACACCTTGCGCATGTTCAAATGCTGTGTCACAATGTCATGAACCACATATTTTGGTAAATTTAACATCTGGGCAATTAAACGAATAGTCGACGGTCTGAGTTCAAAACTTTGCACGGTCTTCATCAGCGACCTCTTCCCGGCCCTCCAAAAAGGCCTGGTGCCACCGAAACACACCACTTCTTGATAAAGCAACACCTGGGTAAGCCTGCTTGATCATATCAAACGTCTCTGTCGCAGATTTACCTAGTTTCACACAGACTTTAATCGCGTACCTCTGCTCTAACGAGCGCTGCATTTTCGGCTTGCACCACTCACAGAAACACGTCGCGCGAAAATGCCTGTCCTGACTCTCCAAGTGCTCGGAGACAACTGACCAGCCACTCATTCGTTAGCTAGGAACGCCCTCTACCTAATCCAGTCGGTGCGCGTACGCTCTGAAGTACAGTCATGGCGGAAGAAAATGAGTCCTATTACTTTCCGGACAAACCCTGTAAGGTGCAGTCAACACAAAAAAATATTGCCAACTGACCGTCCACGTCGCTTGGAATACGCAAAAACAGTCGCTCGCATGGTTGATGCTGAACCTGATTTTTGGAAGCAAATTGTGATGACCGACGCGGCCCATTTCACGCTCTCTGGAGGCGTTAATAAGCAAAACTGCCGCATTCGGGCGACGGAAAATCCACATGAGATCCACGAACTGCCGTTGCATGACCGGAAAGTGACTGTTTGGGCCGGCGTTTGCGCCAAAGCCATCATTGGGTCATTTTTCTTTAACGAAAACGATATCGGTGGTTGTTGGCTAATTATGTCTGCCCACAAATGTGTGAAAAAGGTCTTGATGGTTACTGGTTTCAACAAGACGGTGCGCCATGCCACACTGCAAGTGAAACAATCCAGTTTCTGCAACGAAAATTCCCTGGCCGTCTGATGTCAAAAAGAGGTGACATTGACGGCCACCCCGGTCTCCAGATTTGACCCCACCGGACTTCTTCTTGTGCGGTTATTTGGAAAGTCAAGTATACGCCAGCAAGCCCCACTCCACTGAAGAGCTCAAGGCAAACATGCGTACCGCAATCGCCGCTATACCACCAGAGATGCTCGAAAACGCAGCAAAACGGACACATTTTATTTTGGCCAATAAAGGTGGTCACTTGATAGATGTTGTGTTCAAAAACTAGTCCCAATAAATTGTAAAGGACCACATTTAATAAAAATATAGATATATAGAAATCAATTTTTCGTTTTCACAGTTATTTCATGTTTACATACCGACATAAAAGATAGCGCACCCTGTATATATTGGATCTTTGTTCGATGCTCATTTTGCGACCGATGCTGAAAAGGGCGATAACTCATGAAGTGGTTCGAGTGTCATGACATTTTGACAGGGCATCAATGAAGGATTTACCTATAAAACGCTAGTCTCCGATAATAGATGGCGCTACTTGTATCGGAAATATTTCAAAAGTCCTGTTTACTTTGCGACAGATCTTGTAGTATTGGTCAATACAGCGTTTACAAAGAGCCAAAGGTCGCCTAGTTGCAAAGCTTAGCTACTGCCAATAATAGGATTGAGGATCTCAAATTTCTGAATTCCGAACGCGAACTTGAAACTGAGGAAGTTCATAAGGGGATTTTTCTGCTCTGTATAGAGCTCAAATTTTAAGCTGATCGCATCTGTGAAATTTTTACATTTGAGTATATCAGTTTTAGTACCTCATTACAGTGTTACAAAAAAATCACAATTTTTTGAAAAAAAAAATAAAAAAAATGATTTGTTCGATTAAATCTTGATTTTTTTAATGTATTAGTTTTCTCTATTCGCGCCAAGTATTTGTTGCCTGAATTTATAGTAAGAAAATCTCATCGGCGATATACAAAAAAAAACTTGTGTTGACATGTCGTGCGCGTGTCGCGGCTTTCCTGTCGGAACAAGAAACACGCCTAGGAAACTTACCTGATTTAACCAAGCTTCGTCAGCTAAAAGCTCATTCAATATACACGTCGTATCTTTCGTGGGATCAGAAGTCCGTTTTTCACTAACACGTTTTGCGCATTCTATATACATAAGATACTTTTGATGTGTCACCTTGCTCAGCAGTTCCACACGATTAGAACATATTCTACACATCAAGAAGTCCTGAAACAACAAAGAAAACATTTTTTAGACAGTACCTTTAACAAGTTTTGCATGTTCAAATACAAAAAGAGCTAAACCCTTTATGCATAGTCGATTCTTGAGACCGCCTGAGCTGCTTTCTAGAGGTTTATGGTTTGAGGGTGCTACGCTCCCGAACTACTCCAGAAACAATGTATGAGAATACAACGTGCAGTCGAATGGTGTTGGTGCTGAACACTACTGAGTTACTCAGAGTGACTCAACAAGGTCACTGGAAAGCAGCTCTTTCTCTGAAGACGCGTATTTGGCTTGTTACAAGCTAGTGTCAAATGCCAAAGAAGGCAGCACTTCTTGATTTAAGCTTTCCTTATTACCCCTGACGCTTGTTGAGGAGTCTCTTTTCTACAGACAAAATTGATGAGCCCTTATGTTCCTTGAAGAAAGTAGCAAAGTAAGAAAGGCTCACATTGACTGGCCTTAAGGAAGACATTTAACAATTCTGTGTCGAAACAACAACGGCAAACTAGGTGATCTCAAAATAAGAAGGCCTCACAAGCATCGCGCGTCATTTGTGGCAGAGTTTAATATTTCTATGAAAAAAGTTTGTTGAGTGACAAGGCATGTCTAGAGATAGTGGATCTCTTATGTTTAAATTAGCACTCGCAAATAAAAGCTAGTGAATTTCGATGTTCAGTTTTTGGCAGTTACTCACCAAAGTTTCAGCCATTTCGGACGCGCAGTTGTTATGTAACAGTGGTTTGAATGAATTGATGCGAGTTTCTTTGTGAAAATGGACAAAATCGGGTATCGAGCTGTAATTTTTTTTTTGGAAGTCAAAAACGCAAATCGAAGATGAGTTGGATGCTGTGTATGGAAACTCGCACCAACATTTACCATAGTGAAATTTTGGGCCTCGTACACAAGTGATCTAAACAAGGAAAATAAACTAAGAATCCGTATTTAACGATAGAGAGAACCAAACCAGAACTTAAAATAAACCTATTATTATATAATGCACGAATTCGTATGTATGCTTTTTGGACTATTAACCTGTTTGTCTTAAACGAAGCTGCTCGTCAATTTGTACACCTAAAATTTTGGTGTACCTTACAGACATTTCGTTTAACATTAATAGTTATAATGATATCCTTTTTAATATAATTTTTGTCATTTTCTGAGCACAGGAGAAGTGATGTACATTTATTTAGATTTCTAACAGGTTGACTGCCATGAAAAAATGTATCTGGTGCCAACTTCAAAAAAGTGAAGCTTCTTGCATCAGGTGCTATACTAATTAATTTTCTTTATATTTTTTTATTAGCATACATATTGGTAAAAAGTCAGCGGTCGTATACGCCCGCCGCGGCATAACTGACATAATCATTCTCTTAGTGCCAAGTGGTCGTCCTTTGCGAGTTTGAACTTGTGAATTTAGGGTCAGAAACATGAAATAAAAATGCTTTGCATTTAGGTTAGTTTGTTTTTTAGAAAATAACAGAGTTACGGGAGCAACTGTTTTTATCACTTCTGAATTACGATTTCACCAATCTACTGGAATCCCGACCACAGCAGACCTCAATAGCCTCAAAAAGACATCATTCTATAACGAAGAAGATGGGCGCCTTCAATAAAGTGAAAAAATACTACAGAGGTTGCTATGCCAGAAAAGTGCAAGAGGAAATTCCAAAAAGCAGGGTGAGAAAAGTCGTTACCTACTGTGCATCACCCGAAGCTGAACGTCACTTTTGTTTGGACTCTTTCAACCTACACTTATTAAAATAATCCACCTTGCATATATTTTTTTTTAAATATGGGGTTGTCCAAAACGGACGCAGGAAAGTAAACGCATATTAAAACAAGAAAGATTGATATTCAAATCAAGTTGGGTACTTTATTTTTAAGGTTCATTTATACCATTTATATATGAAAAATAATATCGCTCAAATGTTCACCACAACTGGATTTACAGACGTCCACGCGATGGTCGAAATTTTCAATGACATTTTGCAACATGGTCGGTTCTATGGCATTTATCTCGGCAATGATGTTTTTGCGTTCTTGGAGGGTGGCTGATTTGTTGACGTAGACTTTGCTTTTCAAATATGCCCATAAAAAGAAGACCAAGGGAGTCAAATCGCACGATCTTGGTGGCCATGGCACATTTCCTCTGCGCGAAATCACGCGATCACCGAAGAAGGACTGCAATCGATGGATAGTGACGTTGGTTGTGTGGCATGTTGCACCGTCTTGTTGGAAATAAACATCGTCCATATCCATTCCTTCAAGTTGCGGCCAAAAATAGTCCTCTATCATCACGTGATATCGCTCAGAATTGACGGTAACGGCGTCCCCGGCCGCATTTTCGAAAAAGTAAGGTCCGATGATGCCTTTTGACCACAATGCACACCACACAGTCACTTTTTGAGGATGCATCGGCTGCTCTTGATACTCACGGGGATTTTCGTTCGCCCAGAAGCGGCAGTTTTGCTTGTTTACCGTCCCATTCAAAGTGAAATGCGCTTCGTCGCTGAACATGATTTTTGATGAAAAATTGGCATCAACTTGGCGGTGTTCAAGGAGCCAATCTGAGAACGTTCGGCGCGAAAAATGGTCGGCCCGACGCAGCTCTTGCGTCAATTGGAACTTGTAGGCGTGTACATTCAAATCCTTGTGGAGAATGCGGAGCAAACTGGTTCTCGAAATGCCCAATTCGTGGGATCGACGCGTTGTTGATTGTTTCGGATCGTCTCTCACACTCTCCTTCACAACAGCAATATTTTCCGGTGTGCGAACGCTCCTTGGCCGGCCAGAGCCTGGCAGATTTGCCACAGAACCTGTTGCCTCGAATTTACGCACCAGACGACCGATGGTTGTTTCGTTTGGGCGCTTGTTGCGACCGAAATGTTCACGAAGCGCGCGAAACGTGTTTTTTATTTTTGCACCATTTTTGTAGTGCTCGTGAATAACTTTAATGCGGTCTTCAATCGAATACGATTCCATAGCGATCAATGATAAACATTCAACTAACAAAATGACATGTCGGTGACAGAAAACAAAGATGGCGTCTATGTCAAATTGACGTTTACTTTCCTGCGTCCCTATTGGACAACAGTGGCGGCTCGTGAGGTAGTGCCACGGTGCCATGGCACTACCTTGTCTTCTTCAAAAAGAATATTTTTTTCAATCTTCAATGTTTTACTTTATTTTTTGCTTTTTCATTTTTTTTTGGTATAAATTATATGAAGTGACAACACTGACAACGTGACAACACTGACAACGTGACAACACCGCAAGCACCCGAACACGCGACGAGATATAAAGCATGCCTTGACCTTGACGTCATCAACTTGTGCCAATGTCGGGCCGGCCCAAATAAAAAGAGAGAAATTTTACCAGCATCGCATACGAGCGACAGAGATAACGCTACAATACACATTTTTATATGAGGTGAATAGCGAAAGACAAGTATAATTTGTGCCAGGCACATCATCAGTCGTAATTCGTTATCAAATGATATCGGCGGTGTTTTTGTTCGGTCGGTCGTTTCGTTATGATTACGTCTAGTGCTGATTTCGGTCTTTTTTTACCTGAAAAGTGAGAAATAACGTTTTTGTTTTAGTACGTCTAGTGTTAATGAACTGCTCTGTTTTGTGATCATATTTTTTACTGTTTTATTAAAACTAGTGAAAATGAATAAAATCGGGATATTAAAAAACTCATTTAGTGGTTTTTCGCTGGATCAAAAACTGCAAATTAAAGAATTAGGACGGCCAATACCCGATTTAAAAATTGAGAAACAAAGTGGTAGCGGACAAAAATCGCGCTGTCGCAAATTTAATAAAAATGTGTACGATAAAAACAGCTGGATATGTGGTTGTGAAGAAACGAATAAACTATTTTGTTTTGTATGTGTTCTATTTGGAGGTGACGAGACTTGGTCAAAAAAAGGTACAGATGATCTTATACATATATGGGATAAAATGAAGACCCACGAAAAATCTAAAGTCCATATGAATAATGTTTTTAGCTTTTCTATTCTTGGTAAATTAAATATAAGGACTCAACTCAATTCGGCTTATCGCAATGATCTAATTAAACATAATAATCAAGTGGATAAGAATCGATATGTATTGAATAAAATTATTAATTGTATAAGGTTTTGTGGAGTATTTGAGTTAGCCTTAAGGGGTCACGATGAAAAGGAAAATTCGGAAAACAGAGGCATATTTAAGGAGCTGGTGAATTTTAGCGCCGAATTAGACAACGAATTGAAAGTCCATATTCAAAGTGCCAAACTTTTCAAGGGTACCTCAAAAACAACTCAAAACGAGCTTCTTGAGTGCATGCTAGATGTTTATCATGAAGAAGTTAAGAAGGAGATTGCAAATTCTCCTTTTGTTGCAGTAATTGCCGATGAAACGACTGACGTAGCCTGTGAATTTCAGTTAGTTATTATTTTCAGATATTTGTGTAAAGGACAACCAGTTGAGAGATTTTGGAGATTTTACGTCCCCGACGGACACGATGCCAAATCAATCGCTGCATGCGTTTTAAATGTTGTAAATCCATTAATAGATCAAAATCCAAACAAATTAATAGCTCAAAGCTATGATGGTGCGTCTGTTATGAGTGGTGAATTGAATGGCGTTCAAAAGATTATTAAGGAAACTTATCCACTTGCAAATTATGTTCATTGCTATGCACACCAGTTAAATCTAATTATGACAAGCGCATGCTCTGTCAATAAGCAGGCTAGAATATTTTTCCATAATTTATCTGGATTGTGCTCTTTTTTTTCGACGTCTCCTCAAAGAACAAAAATTTTGGATGAAATAGTTAATCGCAGATTGCCAAGATCTTCCCAAACACGTTGGAATTTTCAGTCACGAGGTGTTCATACAGTTTATGAAAATAGGAAAGACCTGATTGAAGTTATGGACAATATAGAAAGTACTTCACGCGATTCTTCGTCGATTAATCAAGCCAGTGGGTACAAATTAAAGCTGCAAGATACAAATTTTGTATTTTGGCTAAGTATATTCCATAAAATAATGCCACATGTTGAAATTGTCTTTAACCAATTACAAAAAGTATGCACCGATTCTGTTAAGGTCAAAAATGATTTAGAGAATTTTGAAGCAGCAATTCAAACTATACGAGAACAAATGGATAGCATTATTGACGAGATTGAACGAGTGCAGAGAGAAACTGATGAACCGGCAAGAAAAAAAAGGCAAGTTGAAGAAGGCAGCAAAAAACGGGAAGCGTTAGAAATATGCGATGCAGTATTATCGCAAATAAGAACAAGATTTAACTTTTCTGGGCATTTAGTTGCTTCTAATTTATTTGTGTCTGAAAAGTTTTCTGTTTATAAACATCAGTTTCCTGAAGCACATTTAAATGACACATGCACACAATTTTCATTTTTAGACAAAAACAGGCTTAAAACTGAGTTACAAGTATTATATCAGAGAGAAGAATTGAGTACTACTTCTGGAGCTGTTCCACTATCCATTTTATTGAACGAGGAAGGATTAAATTGTACGTTTCAAGAAACTCTTAAGCTCTTAAGTATTTTAATCACTATACCGATGTCAACATCTGAAGCAGAACGCTCTTTTTCAATGCTGAAACGGATTAAAACTTTCCTCAGAAACACAATGAAGGAAGAAAGGCTTAGTGCTTTAGGAATGCTGTCTGCAGAAAAACATTTTGTTAGTGGCATTGAAAATTTTAATAATAAGGTAATCGAAAACTTTGCTACCAAAAAAGAAAGAAGAATGGACTTCATGTATAGAAAACTTTGAAGTTATAGGTACTTCTCCACACTTGTTTTATAATTTGGTGCGCGTGTGTAAATAGTTTTATTTTTGATTTTTTTTTGGACATATAGATTTATTGAACCTCAAGAACTTTGACCACTAACTATCAGGGGTAAGTTATAAGTTATTCTTTACAATTTTGAATCGATTCAAAATTATGGCTTCCATTCTGGCACTACCTCACTGAATTGGCACGAGCCGCCACTGTTGGACAACCCTTTATATATATATATATATTTTTCAATAAAAGTTAAAAAACGACTTCAGACATTATTTTCACGATCCCTTGTAAGCTACACAGAAAACCGCTAACTTAAGCTATTCGTGGATGCCACAGCCGTCTTCTGTCATAATAATTATATGCCTATCAACGAGCGCTGGAACAGCATAAATTTTGAAGGCTAGTGTGGAGCGGTCGCATACGACCGCCATGGCATGGTGGGTTTATTTACAGGCGTTCAACCTGTTAACTTCAAATTATGTATATTTGATTGATGGTTTATAGATTCCGGCACGGCTATTATGTAAAGAAACCTGTAAACGTCAAAAAAAAGACGAAATGTCTTGCAGACTAGGTAGTTTTTAGTGTGCAAATAGTTCATTCCACGTTTATTTGCTATGATCGCGGTTCGCTGACGTTTAAACAACAAATACAGCTACAAAACGAGTTTTAATAGACAAGAATGTAAAATTACAGAAAATGGATTGAAGAAATACAGGGTGTCCGCAAAGTTGGGGTTTTCCTTTACACGACGTGTAGATCTTGAAAACATAAACAATTTTTCTTAGTACCATATACACCAATGTCTTAAGGGAACCGAGATAAAGGGCTCTGCAACATCAAAAATATCTGAATACCGTCCTGTAGCCGCGACATCCCCGACTGGTACTAGGACACTAGCTCAACCCGACGAAAGAACTGGGTCGGGGGTCGGGGTCAGTGTGTCAGGTCAGTATGCAACCTTCAACCGACGGTTACGGTCACGCGTGTACAGGTAAACGAACCCGTATAATCGATTGCGTTTCAAAAAACAACAAGCACTAGAGACGTGGCTAGAGAAGTGCAAGTATCAAAAACTAAAGTGTGGCAAACGCTGCGTGAAGAGGGGCTGTATCCGTTTCACGTCCAACGTGTACAAGCCCTTCAACCTGACGATTTTCCAGCAAGAGTGCGGTTTTGTGAGTGGTTGACAATAATCCGGACTTTTTGAAGTGCATATTGGTGACAGACGAATCTACATTCACGCGTAATGGGGTGAATAACTTTCGCAATACTCATGTGTGGTCAGTAGAAAATCCGCACGCTGTCCGTCGGGCACATTTTCAACAAACATTTTCGGTGAATGTTTGGACTGGCATGGTGAACGGTATGCTCATTGGATCATTTATTCTCCCAAATCGATTGGACGGGATGCAATACCTAGACTTTTTACGCAACATTTTGCCTTCCTTGTTAGAAGATGTGCCATTAAGTGTAAGACAATCAATGTGGTTTCTGCACGATGGTCATATTTGTTACTTCTGTTCGTGGTCTACTGGTCTGCACCACCGCCGGCGTCTGCTCGGTAGCGCATCAGCTGATTTAATTTTCTGTTGGAGCGGTATGATTTCGGGCAGAGACGTACTTAGCCCTTCTCGTCAAATGGAGGGTGAGTACTTTTTTATTTATTTTTTTTTTTTGGTCGCCCTCGTTTAACTACACATTACCTTTGTTGTTTCAAGGGTAGTTGTTTCTGAAAAGGAAAACCCCAACTTTACGGACACCCTGTATATGTAACCGAATAATTATTCAAAAATGACATTGTACTATCAATGCTAAATAAATCTTCAACAAACAATCAAACAAGTATACAACAACTTGTGTTAAGTTGACATCTTGTAGAAAAATCCACGAAAGGTGAAAAAAAATCGACGAAATGTCACTTTTCAAGACGCGTAATACCAGGTGCAGGTCACTGTTGATTTGTCATAACTGTTCGTAAATTTTCTGGATTGAAATTATGAATTATTTGGGTATCACCGGCATAAATAGCGAGTACTTTATTTCAATTTCTTTTTTATTTTTCGCTATTGCCTCACAGCACATTAGCTTTGTTATTTCAAACGAAATTGTTTCTGAAAATGAAAATTTCTTTCAAAACCTGTCAAACAATCCTAGCTGGGCGAAAGCATCTTACCTTTTCGTTAATAGCACTGGGATCCGGCTGGCATCCTTCCAGCGTCGTGGGGTTGTACGGCTGGCCGTACATGAGCACCCTCATCGCAACGTTGGCCGAATCGCAGCCCGCGCAACTCCTGGGGCGGCCGCCGCTTCCGGCAGCTGCCGCGCCCTCGTCGCGCGTCATATTTAAGCAGGGCCACGTGCACACCGCCTGTCGCAACGGCCCCGGCCAACATGACCGCGTGAACAAACCTTGCTTCTTCGATTCGGTTATGTCGTCGATCGTCTGAACGTTCGACAGAAAGTAATCGTCTGGAAGTGAAAAAAAAATGATAAAAACTTGTAAACATTGCAAAGGCTTCTTTTGTCATATCAGGATCCAAACAATATGAACGTTATTTAATATTCAGTGATTTTTCTGTGTTGGTTCCATTTGATTCATTGTTGTTTCATTGCATTATCATGCCTAGACTTCGCAGACGCGCTAATTTCACTCAACTTTCGGGTTACGTGAAGCCGGATTTTCTTTTAGAGAAATCGGTAATCGAGTTAATCGAAACGAAGATACTGTAATGAGATGTTGTCGACCGTGGTTCCAAGAAGGCCGAAATCGACGTGTTTGAGGTACTGGACGTCAAAGATAGACTACAGAGCGACAGGATCGTTATTTGAGGCAACTAGCACTTAGAGATGGAATTTACACAACAAGGGCAGTTGCGAACCAGTGGTTTGAAGCTGTCGGAAGGGCAATAACAATGAGGAATAAGGTCTTTTAGACTGTTTTCGTACCATCCGCATCTCGTACTACCCCTGACCCCACAGCATCATCGGCAACGATTGGTATGGACTAGGGAGAGACTTCAGCGATTTTAACCACTTTCTATTTATCAGTGACCTAAACTTGTAAACGTATGCTCAAAATTACAACACTCCTAGTCGGTGTTGCATTTTCTGTCATTTGGTATTTTTTTTTTTTGGTCTGAACTGCGACAATTGTTATTACTAAATACATAGTCAAAGATGTCCTTTTTACATAAAAACTGCCCAAACAGCTACAGGGTGCGTCATCTATTACTTTTTTCTATTTGAAAAATCAACACGCTTTTTACGAGGTGAAATAAAAGCTTTTTATTGACAAATAATGGTTTATGCCATTTATGTATGAAAAATAACATCAGTCATGTGTCCACCGCGGCTTCGTTTACAAGCCAATATCCGAACATCATAATTTTCAATGACTTTTCCCAGAATAATCGGGTCTATGGCCGCAAATTCAGTCCGAATATTGCGCTTTAGGTCTTGAATTGCCCGGGGACCATTCGCATACACTTTTCCTTTCAAAAATCTCCAAAGAAAATAGTCAAGAGCTGTTACATCGCACGATCTCGGGGCCAACTGACATCTGAATTTCGTGAAATTATGCGGTCTTGAAATTTCGTGTGCAATAAGGCGATTGTTTGGTGAGATGTGTGAGCCGTTGCTCCGTCTTGATGAAACCAAAGATCGTCGGCACCAATACGATCCAATTGTGGCCACAAAAAGTCGGTTAACATGCCGCGATAACGTTCCCCGTAGACGGTAATGGCCTTTTCTTCGGCATCTTCAAAGAAGAATGGTCCAACGATGCCACCAGCCCATAATCCGCACCAAACAGTCACTTTTTCAGGATGGAGAGGTTGTTCGTGATATTGGTGTGGATTTTCATCCCGCCAGAATCTGCAATTTTGCTTATTTACGTACCCATTGAGGTGCAAATGTGCCTCATCAGAAAAGAGCACTTTGGCCGAAAATCCGTCTTCTCTTTCCAGCATCCAATTAACAAAAACACGCCGCTGTTGATGGTCTGCCGACTTCAGTTCTTGTGTTAGTTGGATTTTGTATGGATGGAGGTGTAAAATCAGGAGGAAAGTGATCTCACTAATTCCCAATTGTTGCGAACGGTGCCTAGTCGAGGTGGTTGGATCTTCTCGCACACTTTCACCCACTGCTGAACCAGTTTCCTCAAAAAGATTAACAATCCAACGAATTCCAGGCTCTGTAGGGCGTGCATGTCGGCCAAAACTAGTGCGAAGTTTGCGAAAAGTATTTTTTATATTTCGACCGTTTTCGTAATGAGTTTGGATAACCAAAATGCGTTGTTGTGTTGGAAACGAATCCATGACTATAAATTTCATACCTTTGACAGTTCATTTATGCATACCACATGACTTATGACTCACATGTAACACATAAACTTGTAGGTAAAAAAAGTAATAGTTGGCGCACCCAGTACTATATTTGTCATTGTCCGTCAGCAGGGCTTTCAGGTCCAAAGACATTCACGTTCATGTTCATTTTTATCGCCATATTTGTAGCTAAGATTTAACTCAGGAAATTTGAATCCCGGTGCAAACATTTTACAGGACAAAAAAATACGAGCTCACAAGTCGTAGAATCTTTTAAATTTGCTGGTTTTGAATTTAAAGCAAATATTCAAACGCGGTACCTGTAAGGCAGTCGTGGGTGGCCTGATATTAATGCTTGGAGAATACACTGTCAGAAGACTCAAAAGCGCTAAAACCGTTATCCCCTTTAAACTTTGAAGGAAGCATCAGAAAATTCGGATACACTCTGAGAAATATTTGTCAATGTCTACTAGCGCGTTTATAGCAATCTTTGGCAGATCGTTAGATCTGGAATAGGAAAAAATCCTCCATTTAACCGTTGCTATCACTGTGTAATTGCTGTGACCTATCAACATAAGCAAATCATAAGCAGCTACTTTACCAACATAAACTTAATACACCAGCCGTGACGATGCAGTGGTCGGAATGATGACTGTTGTATATCCCGGTACAACCAGCCGATATCACCCTGTACATGAACATCCACACCACCCTGTACACTCAATCAAGTGACGCCAGCGTGTGCGCATGTGCAGACAGACATTCTGGTGCTACGATTTCATTGCATCTGGCCCTGCTACCCCGTTGGTGAAATAAGTTTGTATCCAGCCCAAACCCAATAAACGTTGTTTCAAGAAAATAAAGGGTTATATGCGACATGATGAGCGTACAAAAAATGACGTCACCACTGCAATATACCACTTTACCATGGCGGGCTGCAGCGCATCAAATGAAAATCGTTGGAACTTTCTCGGATGTAAAGATATCGCAAAAATTCTTCACGACTTAAAAATATCCGTGCTTGATTGAGCAATATTCTCGACTACAGGAAACCATGGAATCTCAAATGTATCCAGAATTAATCCCCAGTCGTTACGTTGAAAAAAACATTACAAAAGCATATCAAATAACGCCAATTTGGCGACAAATCGCCAAACCCAGCAACTGCTCTTAAGCTGATACTACACAGAAGGTAAGCTAGATGCTTTCACGTATAAAAAATACCAAATAATAATTCCAGATTTTAAGTTTAAATAATGCCGAACATTTTATAAAAAGAAATAGACATATCAGAATGTAGAAATACCGAGGTTGTTTTATAAATATCTTCGAAATAGCCTCCCCCTCGGCCGATTTTACACATGGTCATTCTTCGGACAACATTTTCAGTATGCAGAAATGCTTTGCTCCAGGTCATTAATCTGCGGATTGTGCGAATAGCCTTTATGAGGAATACCAAAAATACCATGCGGGGTTAGATTGCATGAGACGTACAGTAATGGACAAAAGTATGTAGACAAATATGAATATTTACCTAAATACCTTCAGAAAACGAATTCATACTTCATTGCTCCATAAACAAATGCGTTATTAGTAGAAAAACTAAATTCCTTGTTTTTACATTTTCTGCAATGAACACAATACAAGTCTGAATATAAGCACTTTTTTATGAGGGACAAAAATATGTAGACAAATTCTTTTCAATATTAGTTTAGTACAGTTTCGTGTCAGAAGAGGATTAGTTTGTGTTCATCAAGTATTGTGGAATGAGTTGAGTGATTTTAAGACCATGCCGCGTGGTCCAAAAATTTATTTCGATGTGAAAACTAAGATCATTGAGTTATACAAAGATGGTCAACGTCAAGTCGACATTGCCAAAAATTTTAAGCTGAAGCGTAAAGCAGTTTGGGCAATATTGAACAAATATAAAGAAAAATGTATCTTGGAAGCCTCTAAGAGAAGTGGTCGGCCTAGAAAACTAAATGCTAGATCAGTTAGATTAATAAAAGTAATTTCGTCCAAAGATCCGTTTAAAACTCCAAGACAAATAAAAGCCGAAATCGAGACAAAAGGAATTGTCAGTGTTTCTACGAAAACTATAAGTAGAAGATTAATGATTTGAAGTTATTTGCCACGTCGCCCGAGTGAGAAGCCGCTAATCTCGAGGAAAAACCGTAAGGACCGATTACAATTTGCATCTTGATTGGAGCATCTGTGACGGGAAGAGGGTATGTTTCAGTGACGAATACAAGTTCAATATGTTTGGATCAAACATTACGTTAGATGTCCTAGTCGATCAAGATTGAACCCCAAGTACACTTTGCCCACTGCCAAACATGGAGGCGGGTCTGTTATGGTTTGGGGGTGCTTTTCGGGGTTTTGGGATGGGACCTTTACGTAGAATAGATGGCATTATGGATAAGTTTGTATACACAGACATACTAAAGTATGTCATGTTACCCTATATGGAAGACATTATGCCCTTAAGATCAATCTTCCAGCAAGATAATGACCCGAAGCACACTTCAAATCTCGCAAAGAAATTCTTTCTGGATAAAAAATTACCAGTTCTCAAATGGCATTCACAGTCTCCCGATATAAACTCCATTGAAAATCTATGGGAATGCTTAGATAAGCAAATACGAGATAAAAATTATTCAAACAAATATGCACTTTTTGCGGCTTTAGAGCAAAAGTGGAGCCAGATTGATGAATCTTATATCAAGAAACTTCTACAATCTAAGCCGAGACGATGCCAGGCGGTGATTGATAATAATGGTTATGCTACAAAATATTAACACAAACATGGTTGGTTTTCTATAATTAAATAAACTTTGCTCCTTTTTTCTATAATTGTTTTGCTTTGTCTATATATTTTTGTCCTTCATAGTTCCGGTTTTTTCAATTAATTTTTTATTGAAGGGAGTCTAATGAATGCATTTATGTATAAGTGAGTATTATGCTATAACGAATTATGTGTACAGGTTTGTGCATTAATAAAACAAGTTAAAAAAGAAATACAGCACAATATTAATTTGTCTATATACTTTTGTCCATTAGTGTATCTGTGACAATTCCAAAGAGTCCCTTGCCTACTACTATCGTAACTATAAAGACAAATGAAGTGAAGTGAACTCTCCAACGATCTATAATTAAATTTCGGGGAATAAATTTGAGTCAAATAGTCGAAAGATGGCGCCAAATTTAAATTCCGAAGTAACTATTAGGTCACCCTTTGTAATGCTTTTGTACATACCTTTCTCCTGGAATATCTCCATGAGGAAATTGCTATCTAATGCCTGAGAAATCAACGTCTGTATATACACTTCAAAATTATCTTGGTACGCCTCAAACTGTTTCATACACTGTTCCATGAAGTCGTAATCTATAATCGTCATTTCGTTCTTCAGGAACTCCACTATAGTTTCTAACTGACCCTGTGACCTATACTTAACTGGCACTGAAATGTATTGCTTTTTGCTTTCGGGAGTCCACGACGTATACTGCAAGGGAAAAAAACAAGTTTTAAAACCGGACGTGCAAATGAGGCCTACATGCTCTTGCCCACCAACGTAAAATACAAAATTTACTTACCGTGGAAATATTTCTGTACAACGTAATCCCATTCTGTTCGAATGGTTCGTACTTTTGGAGTAGAGTTTTACCATCTACCCTCCATATGGCAGGCCACTCTTCTTTCAAATCAGCCTTAATCACAACGAATTCACCAGGCTGAAAATAACAAACATATTACCCAAACGTTCTATTATTTACAATATATAACCACCGACAAAAAAAATATAATTGAGGCAAAACAGAATATTACCTGATGCTGTTTCTCTTTCGACTTATTCGACTGCATGAACAAAAAAAGGAAGGCGTTATAGCAATGAGTGAATGGACAAATCGACAGAAAAAATGTAATGTATCAAATTTACAATTGTGAATAAATGATATGAGTTGAAAACGATATTGACAATAAAAGGTTGCAGATCATTTTGAATATTTTATGAATCAACCAGTTAGTTTCCGGAATCTTCGGACCTTCACAGATCAATTTGATTTTTTCACGCAAAGGTCGATTTATAAGCTCTGCAGTTCCGCACCGCGCTTGACTTTAAACTGTTTATAAACAGGAATTCCGGAACGCTGACGCTAGACTTGACGAAGTTTTAACTTTCTGACGATGCCGTTCCCGATACAGCCAATGAAAGGTAGCCTGCAAATCACGTGTTTGTTGCGACAGATCATCTGATTTTTCTGCGTGCTTTTCGCTCTGTTTGACATTACATGATTTGTTTTGCTCGATGTGGCTTTCTTTGAGATGGTTAGCTATATTTTATTTAGTTTATTTAAATAATAATAAAGATTAGCAGAAGGTGTGTGTTACAAGTTTGGTCTTCAAATATGTTAAAAAATGCGATTTTGGGTTAGATTATACGTCACGCACATGACTCAACTTACTAATATACAGGGTGTCCCAGAAGTCGACGTCAAGCCGAAACCGGGTGATAGGCAAAGTCATAACAGCTATCAGAAAAATATTTAAAAAAATTTTATGTATGTGTTTTGAAAATTATAGGTCTTTGAAAAAAATATAGAAATTTCACACCCTACGGCAGTCTGTCAACTCCTGTTACTACAAATATTAACTTTTTTTGGATTTTATTTTTACAATGTAATGATGAACAATGCACCTTCAAACTGGTGTCTCAACCTTACTGCCAACTTTTCTCGTTCAGGAAAAATTGCTACTTATTTCCCAACCAAGTATTCCAAAGTAAAACTTTGCTCAACTTTAACTGGCTGTACTGGAAAAAAATTTATTACGAGAGTTTGGCAAGTAACCTTAAAAGTTGGCGCATTTAATAAGGATTCCAAAATGGTATAACACTTAGAAGATTACTCGTTAACTTATGCACAATTTTTATTTGAAGAAAAACTGATGAAAATTTTTCAAAATTTCCTAATTAAACAGCGATTATGAAAACGCACAAGGACCCCTAAGGATAACTGTTTGCACAACAGTGGGCGTCAAAATGCTGCTGATGATGATTTACCTTTACAGCAAATGTTCAAACTGTTTTCCTTCAGCCGCAATACACGCTCGACATCTTCTTAAAAAAGATCGGGTTATTAAACGAGCGAATCCACGGTTATTAACAAGCTCAGCTGCTTCCAATAGTCTTTGCCGTAGCTCAGCTACATTTTGAATCGGCTTGAAATACACTTTTTCTTTTACAGTTCCCCAGTAAAAAAATCTAAAGGATTCAAATTAGGTGGCCACGATATTGTACCAGACCGCCTTATCCATCTGCCTGGAAAGTTTTGATCGAGATACTCTCTCACTGAGAGTGCATAGTGCGCTGAAACCACATGTCCCTGTAAATACTCAGTGGCACGTCGTCCAATAAATTTTCTAAATGATTTTGCAAAAAACCTAAATAAACCTCAGCAGTTCAAAATCTCTGGGAACTCAAACGGACCGATTATTTTACCATTTAAAATTCCTGTCCAATGGTTTATCTTGAAGCGATATTGAGTTTTATCTTCTCTCATCAAATGTGGGTTTGCTACCACATACAGCGTGTTCAACCCCTTCTGCCCCGGGATTATGAGCCCCGAGTTGCTTTTTGTCGCACAATGTTAGAAAGACACAGGGAAGATCCACGGTTCTTTGAAAAAATTTTATGGTCAGATGAGACCACATTTAAGAAAGATGGGTACATGAACCTGCATAACTTACACGAGTGGCACGTAGCAAACCCACATTTGATGAGAGAAGATAAATCTCAATATCGCTTCAAGATAAACCATTGGACAGGAATTTTAAATGGTAAAATAATCGGTCCGTTTGAGTTCCTAGAGACTTTGACTGCTGAAGTTTTATTGGATTTTTTGAAAAATCATGTACAACATTTATTGGTGGACGTGCCACTGAGAATTTACAGGGACATGTGGTTTCAGCATGATGGCTGCCCAGCGCACTATGCACTCTCAGTGAGAGAGTATCTCGCATTTTGACGCCCACTGTTGTGCAAACAGTTATCCTTAAGGGTCCTTGTGCGTTTTCATAATCGCTGTTTAATTAGGAAATTTTGAAAAATTTTCATCAGTTTTTTTTTCAAATAAAAATTGTGCATAAGTTAACGAGTAATCTTCTAAGTGTTATACCATTTTGGAATCGTTATTAAATGCGCCAACTTTTAAGGTTACTTGCCAAACTCTCGTAGTACATTTTTTTCCAGTACAGCCAGTTAAAGTTGAGCAAAGTTTTACTTTGGAATACTTGGTTGGGAAATAAGTGGCAATTTTTCCTGAACGAGAAAAGTTGGCAGTAAGGTTGAGACACCAGTTTGAAGATGCATTATTCATCATTACATTGTAAAAATAAAATCCAAAAAAAGTTAATATTTGTAGTAACAGGAGTTGACAGACTGCCGTAGGGTGTTAAATTTCTATATCTTTTTCAAAAACCTATAATTTTCAAAACACATATATAAAATTTTTTTAAATATTTTTCTGATAGCTGTTATGACTTTGCCTATCACCCGGTTTCGGCTTGACGTCGACTTCTGGGACACCCTGTATATTAGGTAACTAGGAACATGTTGAAGTACTCTAACTGCTAAGAATGGTTATCGAGGTGTCTGCTTATCTGCCTAAGAACAAATAATTGCGTAGACAATCTAGAATGAATGTATGATGTCCAGTTTAGCCTGGTTCCAAGTACTACTCCTAGAACTTTTACTGGTTCAGATCTCACAGCCCACCTGCCAGAGGAAAATGTAATACAGGGTGCGGCAGAGAGGATGGACGGTTTTAAAAAATCATAAAATAGTTAATTTTTACTCGAAAACAAATTTATTGATGGAATCAGGTTCACAAGGAAATAGCATTTGAGACAGTCAAGTGTGGAAAATCACATCAGGCATGTGGTGGCCGAAATCGTTGATGCAGTGCAGGAGGCGTTCTTGGAAGTTCGCGTAGACTCTCTCCAACATCGCTCTCTCAACTTGGGCGACTTCCACGCGAATTTCGCCTTTCAATTCGTCCAGAGTTCGGGGCTTGTTCGCGTATACTCTAGCCTTGAGGTGTCCCCATAAAAAAAAATCGCATATGGATAAATCTGGGGACCGAGGAGGCCAATGAACATCGCCAAACCTGGAAATAAGGCGACCAGGGAAGAGAGGGCGAATAACGTCCATGGATGCTCGGGCTGTGTGGGCGGTCGCCCCATCCTGCTGGAACCACACACGTCGCCGTTGTAATTCAGGGAGAAAGAAGTTGGTGATCATGTCGACGTAGCGCTCTGAGTTCACGGTAACATCACGACCATTACCGTCTTCGAAGAGGTAAGGGCCAATGATGCAAGTTTGCGATACAGCGCACCAAACAGTTACTTTTGGGCTGTGCAGCGGTCTTTCGTGTAACTGTTGCGAATTTTCATTAGCCCAATAACGACAATTCTGCTGGTTAACCATGCTGTTTAGGTGAAAGTGGGCTTCGTCACTCATAAACAAAATGAGGTTCTCATTTTGGTCGATCAGTGCTTCCATCTCACGTGCGAAGTTCATTCGTTGTGCATAACCTCCGGGCTGTAACTGTTGCACAATGGCCAATTTGTAGGGGTGAAAGCGGAGATCCATATGCAAAATTCGCCTCACCGAACGATCACTAAGGCGAAGTGCAGAGGCATGTTTCCGGGCAGATCGAGTCGGACTGCGAAGAAAGACCTGTCGAACGCGTTCAACATTTTCAGGAGTTCGAACTGTTCGCGGCGCTCCTCTTGGTCTTCTGTTGATCAGTTCACCACGCCTGCGAAGTGATTCAACCCAACGAAGGATGGTGTTTCGAGAAGGAACAGCTCTATTCCGATGAATGTTGAAGTGGCGACGAAACTCACGCTGTACGACGATGACCGACTCATTATTTCGGACGAAACAATCATAGGCGAAAACGCGGTGCTCCACCGTCCAAAGCTCCATAACGACAACTGGTAAAATAATGCTAGGATCTCACTAGTCAAACGGCACTCTTCCCACCTCTCTCGTAGACGGAGGCGGAGAGTACTACCCATCCCAAAAACGTCCGTCCTCTCTGCCGCACCCTGTATGTGCCTTGTTTTCATTACAGCGATAAAACATCTTTTAGCTTGTTCCAGACTATCCACACCCGTGTTTTTGGTCAGGTCTAGTCAGCAAGGCTAGCAAGTTTATAAATTGATTTTAACTACCGGCGGCAGGGTTAGGGTAATGGTACGCCGGTGTACGGCAACGTAAGAGTTTATAAATACGCCTTAATCGATAACAAATAATATAATTTTCACAGAAAACTATTCAAATTATAATATCCACATACCTTGAACGGCCCATCATCACTAATAGGAGGAATACTGTTTTGTAGAGAAGCGGCGATATTGTCTTCAAGTGTGGGCGGAATGTTTTGTTTGTTCTTGTGGGTTGAAGAAGAGGAAGATGAGGATGATTTTTTCTTGGAAGATTGCTCGTTGCCGCTGTACTCGTCACCCTCTGTGATGCCAGCGCCCTGGGCAGCGGTCGAAATCAGGTTCTTCAGGCCTTTTTTCGATTTACCCCCAACTGAAAACCAAAATAAGAACATTAACAATCTAAACTAACATAGTATTAAAATTTCCCGACTAAAACAAAAAAATAATACTGCTTTCGTCAGTCCGACCAACAGAGGGCCAAAATCGCTAAAATTGACGGCATCAAACAGTCACAGTGTTGAGATCATTTTACAGTTCCAACCGATACCTGCCGTTAACTCTCGCAGCACCTTGTCCTGTTATAATTCGATAGGTCCTATACTTCAGATAGAGGATACTCTGCTTTCATTCGACGTTCTACATAGAGACCAAGTTAGAACCATGCTGACTATTGCCAATAAGCATGTAACATCTATATACGGTTGGCCCGACGCACGAAAGTAGAATTATTAGTTTTTTAATGGCTAGTAGACCATCTATTATATCGCCAGAATCGACAGCATCATGTGCATCATAAGGAACAAACATGCCTAAACTCGTCCTTGTAGGTTTTTGGGAATTAGCAAGTTGAAGTGCTATGTAAAAAATTTTAACGTTTCGAAAATATGTGCATAAAGTTATATTTCTAGTTTGTTTAGGAAACATCAAAATTGACTATAACCAGAATTTTTACTATTTCCCAAAAATTTTCTATTATCGAAACATACTGCTTACCTCTTCGATTTTTCTTGATGGGAAGTATGAGATCTTCTTCGTCGTTATTTGCGGCAGGAGTCCAAGCTGGATCAGAGTCAGAGTCCTGAAATTCGGCCGGTTCCTCAGGCTCGTCGTCTTTACCAATTTCTGACATGTTCTTGTGCCCTTTTGCCGCCCTATATACCACAAATACATGAATGAAAATTTCGACATCACGAGATATGGAATGACGCAGGTTTTACGCTCTGTGAGTGAAAAAACTCGTTATATATTAATGCATTTCTATCTATTAAGATCTTTGTCATATAACTAAAAAGCACATAACGACAAAGCAACTTCACATACACTTAACCCTCCGACATTAGGTCTGTAAATTAGGTGATAAGACTGGCAACGAAGCGATCGATCTGGCAACACTGGAGGCTCCAAGCTAGGATGGGAAACAGGGAAGATGTGATCCGCCTTCAGTACAAGTTTGAACTCGTTCGTGTCATTTGGTTATCCGTAGCGATATTTTTGGTGAAACAGTTTTTTCTATTCTGTTCTAAAAATTAGTGATATCAGTTTCAAGCAACAATGTGCTATAAGGTTTTGCTCCAGACTCTTGCTAAATAGGCCTAAGGAGATAGTGTTTTGTCAAGAGCCCAGGCATTTTCAGGAGGGAGAGAGTGAATTGAAGGCTTTCATCTTCAAGAACCGATGAAAATATCAACAGAATCTGGGATCGGAGAAGAGTTAATTTTGACTCTCATCACCGTTCATGTAAGGCCAAACATCAAGAACTACTAGGTGTTGCATCAGATAATGCCCCTTGTCACACAACAATGTTAATACACGAGTTTCTGGCCAGTGAACACATTCCTGTGGCTCTTCAGCCTCCTTATTCGCCCGACTTGAGTCCTTTTGATTTTTCTCTCTTTTCGAAGTTGGTCAGTCGAAAACAAACGGCTGTAACCGACCAGCTGAAGGCTATTCCAGTATCGTAGTCCCAGAATTGCTATCAGGAGTGGAAGATCCGCCTCCAGTGCTGTGTGGCTTCAGGGGAAGTCATTTTGAGGGTGACAGTATAAAATTGTAATTATATTTGAAAAAAAAAATAGTGTCATCACTTAATTCACAGACCTCGTATATACTTAACAAATCCTTACCTTTTACTGGTCTCCCTCCTAGGCACATCCTCGATCTTCTTTCCATCTTTCCCATCCTTCTTTCTCTTATCTTTCTCTCCTTTGGCAGCCTTCTCTAGTTTCGCCTTCTTCTTCTCCGACATATGCTTCTCCCCTTTCTGCCTATTTTTCACCTTTTCTTTCTCCTTATCCTTCTCTTTCTCCTTATGGTCGCCAGGCTGCGCCTGCGTCTGTTGCTGCTCTTTGTGGTGTTTGTGTTTTTTGTGACCGAAAAAGTCGTCGTCAGAGCTGAAGCCATCGTCCGAGCTATCAAAACTGTTCCGTTTACGTTCTTTAGGTAAAGGGAAATACCTGCAAAGACAACAGTATCAAGGATCGAATTCAAGCTATTTTTTCAAAAAACAATACTATCCACGATTCAGCAGTTTCTTTATAAAAATGAGTCTGCTAAGGTTAATGGAATTTGAGAAAACATCTTCAGGTAGTTTGTTCCACAATCTCGCTACTCTAGACTAGAAACAAAGAATTTGTCGTACTGTACAATTGTCGATGAACATCACTCGACCGAGCTTCATTGAGAAGGAAGCAGAAGCCTTATACGGGCGACGGCATCATGAAACAAATTCAAAGAAACAAAATCCGCTGGCATATCGATAGAGACCGCTAGATCACATCTAGTGTGGAAAGTGAAGTCAAAGTTGTAGAAGGAGATCGAAGCTAAATTAGCGCTCAGACATATCTTGTTGCTCAACACACACACACAATTGCAGCGGCTCTAGGCTCTGAGCCTACAGCTGTGCCTCAGAATTTCGTGTACTTGGTAGATGCACATTCTCCTGGAGATGTGGTCCACTGCCACCTGTGTGGGCAAGGAAGCGGAGAGGTTAGGTCTGAAGTTACTGTGTCAATGGACCTCACGCAATCTACAATCATGAGCAATCTACTTAGTAACAAGTGTACCTGGTAGATGCCCGTTCTCCAGCGTCTTGCTCCTGGAGATGTGGTGACCTTAGAAGGTCTACTACCACCTCTGCGGCCAAGGAAACGGGGAGGGCAGGTCTGAGGCTTGATTCTGCGCTTTTGGCAAGGGACGGTCGTAGGTCATTCCGTACCAATACGGCGAGACAGGTGGCGGTGGCAGCCGGTGACGCAGCCACTGCATTTCCTTGCTCTCGCCTGTCAAAGATGACAAGGCAGACGATGGCGCCGCGTAAGGTGGTCTAATGGGACAAATAACACAACAGTTCACATCATATCATCGAAATCCAGCAATGTTGACAAAAAGTTCAAATTAGATTATCTGCTCCATCGCGTTAAGAGTAAGTCACAAAATCCGACGTACTTTGCGGTATTTTGAAGTATCTCGCTGCCTCTCCCGTTGATTTGTTATACTTACTGGTCAGTATGCGTAGAAACGCAGCCTTTTTTCTGACTCGCGAAACATTCTACAGAAGATGCTTGTTTTACTCTGTACTATTTTCTGTAGATAACCCTAAATAACCTGTGATCACTCAAAAATGCAAAGGAATCTCAAAATATACATAATATGCTAATATTTAATTGTGTGAATCTGCATGAAAAATTAATGTTAGTTTGCGGTATAGACTATGGTCCAAAAATGTTTCCTTACAAAAACTCGGGGTGTTGAAGCTTTAGGAAAAAAATGGAAATTAATCAATATTTTCAGAAGAGCCTCAGATATTTCACTGGTATTTAGTACGTAGTGAAAGTTAATAAAGTTGCATATGTTTCAATGCAAAAATAATCTTTAGCTTTAACAGTGACGTGCGTACGGGTATTGCCAATCGTTTTTTGTCAAATAAAAATTATTTTTGAATTCCCCTTCAATTTATTATCTCTCTTGAATTGTTTTCCTTCGATGCGCCATTTTTGAGTAAAAAATAAAAACCGTTCTATTGTCTAACTTGCAAAATTATTAGTTTAATTGAAAAAATTAAACACATTAGGGGTAATGAACAACAACAACTGACAACATAAACATAACATTAAAACCAACGAAATGATTACAAAATTGTTGAAAATGGCCCCCTTCACTTAGTATGCTTCCGCCCTCCTTCTCATGGAATTGTGCACTCGAACTATCCCTGGAGTGTTTTTTATTCTATCACAAGCTGCAACTATTCTTTCTCTTAATTCCTCTACACTGTTAATGGAACTTGTGTACACTAGTGTCTTAAGATAGCCCCACAAAAAGAAATCTAAACTGCTTAGGTCTGGGGACCTTGGTGGCCATTCTTGGGGCTCACCGCGGCCAACCCAACGATTTGGATTAACAGTTTGTAAATAATTACGAAGCGCTACACTGAAATGTTCTGGTGCACCATCATGCATGTACCACATATTGTTTCTTATTACTAACGGAACATCATCAAGCAGCAAAGGCAAATGTTGTTGAAGAAAATTGAAGTAAGTCTGTCCGTCAAGTCGTCCCGGCAAGAAGAATGGGCCAATAAGTGGTTGCCAATACGTTAACCGAAAATTGGTGTTGGAAATGGATTTCGGTTACGGCATAGGGATTTTCTTCTGCCCACAAATGATTATTGTGGAAATTCTGAATGGCATTTCGAGAAAAACTAGCTTCACCCGTGAACAGAATCATTGATTCAAATTGCGGATTTTGCGTAATTTTTTGAAGATACCACTGATAAATGGTCACACGCCTTGGAAAATCAATGGGAGGTAATGCCTGTACTCTTAAAAATATGGTAAGGATATAACAAAAAATCCACTAAAATTCTCCAAACAATTTGATGGCAAATATTTAAGTGTCTAGCGATCTTCCTCGTACTCGTTTCAGGATGTTCTTCGACTTCGTGCAGCACTGCTTCCTCAATTTCAGGTGTTCTCACACTTAGAGGTCTCCCTTCAGATATTCCTTTTCAGACAGAACCAGTTTCAACAAGACGACGATGAGTATTAGAAAAGGTTCAACTATCTGGCAAAGCACGATCGGGATATATCTGGTGATAAATCTGTCTGGCTTGCTCACCATTACCGTCGGCACGGCCACGTAATGCATTTCCGTCATTTCTGCATTTGAATAATTCACCATTATTAACATGATTGTAACAACTAAATAATGAAAAAGATTTCACAGCGAACAGTTTTGAATAACAGAGACTTGTCAGATGTCAAAAGCCAGTGACATATTCCAGAGCAACTAGATATTTATTGCTGAATTGCATTCTTCAATTATTAAATTAATTTACTCGGACAATAGAACGGTTTTTATTTTAGTCAAAAATGGCACATCGAAGGAAAACAATTCAATGGAGATCATTTGTTTTAAATTGAACGGGGAATTCAAAAATAATTTTTATTTGGCAAACCATTGACGTACCATTTTTTTCTTAAAAAAATACAAGTACGCACGCAACTGTTGAAGCTAAAAATTATTTTTGCATTGAAAAAACTTTATTAACTGCCACTACGTACTAAATATCAGTGAAATATATGAAGCGGTTATGAAAATATTAATTGATTTCCATTTTTTCCCCTAAAATTTCAACACTCCGAGTTTTTGTAAGGTAACATTTTTGGACTAAGTTTATGAAGCAAACTAACATTTTTTCATGTAGATTCACACCCTTAAATATTCTCATATCATTAAGGAACACCCTGTATATCTGGATTATTATCATTATCAGGCATGACACTAATAGTTAGTTTCTTTTAAAAGTTTCTGAGGCTAATATGATCTAACTGTTGTGCTATCAACAATCTATCCCACAGAACACATATTTTTGTTCATATATACCAGATTTGTGTAAGAAACTGCTACTACAAGATGCCAACTGAAGATCGGTTAAAACAAAAACAACGCCAAGATCCATAAAAATTACACAGTACCTTTTGATTTTTTATTAGACTGACATGAGATTATGCGCTGCGGAACTTCAGTTTCTTGAATGAGCCAATTATACCTAATAGGTACTTCGGGATTAAAATTTAGCTACGTTTTCCAACAACGTACGACATTTATTTAGTCAAAACTCGTTTTATGATGAAACAACACATTAGAATTGTGCAAACGTAATAATAATCTTGTACAGTATAATGCTTCCAAAACACAGTACTGTACTATTGTCACCAACACATTTCATCAATAGCGGCAACTGCTGGGAAAAAGCGATGAATCTTCTCGGTCAGCCTCGGAAGCCTTTTGCACCGGAGGCCGTCGGCGATCTAGCTCTCCTCTATGGCTACGCCAATGTGCCTTGCTTCTCAGAGCTCTCCTCCATGATGCCGCCGCGCGATGTAGCTGTCAGCCTGACTTCGCCCTCCCATCCTAACCGTGTCGAACTTCGTACATCCAGAACTTACCGCTCATTTGTCTCTAGGGTATTGAGATTGAGGAACAATCTTCATGACATGGCTTTTCCCAGTTCTATTAACTTCAGGTTGTTCAAAAATTGGATAACAAAGTTTCTTTAAGCTCCTCATAGCAGCCGCGGTGCCCTGGCATACTTTACACAACAAACTTTTCCTAATGTTGTAGTGCTAATAATAATACGTTAGTGTATTGTCTTACCTAGGATCGTCCTGCGGATCACCCTGCGCCGACAGCCTCTGTATGGGTAGCATGGGCAGCGGAGGCGGCGGTACCACCGGATGATGCACCGGCCCGCCCCCGTTAGCCTCTGGCACGCGCAGTTGCTGTTCCTCTCCAGGTTTAGCCACAGGGGTTGCAGCCCAAGGCGTGCCGGTCACAGCAGCTGATTTCCTGGCGCCGCCTCCGCCGCGCATGGCCGGGGGCGGCGACACGTCCCGCCCCTTCTGCAGGAACTTCAGGTAGCTGCTCATGAAGTCCGAGGCAGGACCGGAGGGTTTCCCTTCGGCGCCTAGTTTCGCGCCCGGAACGGGAGGTGCCACCACGGGTGGTTTCGGTTGGGGGGCGGCAGCGTGTGGAAGCTGCTGGTGTTGCTGGGGGTGGCTGCCTCGAGTTGCGTCTGGAAAAATAGATAGATAGATAAATATGTTTTATTGTCTGAAGAATAAAATCATTCTTTTCAGCATCTTTCGGTACCAAGTCGTACGACGAGTCTTCTGAGAGAACAAAGTTTGCTTACGTGTGAATGGTCAAGCAAAATTGAATGAATTGTTGGCGCATGAAGGTGTAAGGTCTCCTCTATCTGTTGGTATATCATTATCCGGTCGTCAAGCATTTTCCTCACAGCAGTAATATATTCCTCTGTTACTGACGGTCGCGGCCTTACTTCCCTCTCAGCGTCCTCCAGAGTGAAATTGCCCCTTTGGAATTCTCTGTACCACCTGAATATAGTCGTACGATGAGGGCAAGCATTCCTTAATGCAAGCGTCATTTCTTCTAAGCAGTGGTCTATGCTTAAATCACGCGTAAAGTATACCATAGAACCGCCCTATCTCACTACCTGACCACGATGCCATCGTCCGCACTTTACACTGTCAATACGAATGAATCACTAAATCAACAGACTGCTGGCTACTATGCACTCATGGACATATGTCTCAATATGCAGTAACATGCAGCTTCCTGCGTCCGTTTGTTAAGGCATATTGCAAAACTTTGTACAATTTGTACAATGTTACCGTACCTTGCGACAAGAAGTTCAACTCCTCCTCTATATTCGGCACGACTACTTTCGGATGTTCTTCGGGCGGCTGTTGAGTATGCTGGGGCGGCGGCTGCTGTTGTTGGTGGTGCTGCTGTTGCTGTTGGTGATGATGGTGGTACTGTCCCGCGGCTGCTGCGGCCGCCGCCGCCGCCGCAGCAGCCGCTTGTTGCGACTGGTCTCCGCCGTACGCGGCCGCCAACGGGGTCAGTTCCACCGTCCCCGGGTACTCGCCGGGATGGGGGCCCGCGGAGGCGGCCGCCGCGGCCAAGTGGAACGGCGCGAAGTACGGTAATGGTGGCGGATGGCCGTGCGGAGCGTGCGGATGCGCCACCATCAGACCCTAAAACAAGTAAAAATTGAGAATAAAAAATGGCGTCAAGTAGGTAGACTTCCATTTATTATTTACTGACAATCTGGTGATCGAATTTCCCAACCATGCAAGTTCGCTATAAATGGGCGCCCGCATGGGACAGCCAGAGGGTTCAGGATAATGTGACTTTTTTTGTTTGACAATTTTTGCTGTATCTCTAAAAACAAAGTAGTGTGGAGTATTTGAAGGTTTCCGTAAAAACCACCCTGTATCTTCGAAACGGCTGAGCCGATTTTAACAAACTTGGGCTAGTTGAAAAGAGCTATTCTCGGGCTACAAATGTTATAATACTTGAAGTTTTTTTAGTTTCACATGTGGCCGCTAGAGGGCTTTTTTGACATTCCGACAGAAATAGTTGATTTTATCAACAAAATATTCTACCTGATGTAGTTGATGTTGTTGTCCACTGAATATCTTAGAGGCGGCCGCAGCGGCAGAAGGAGGCGGCAGATTCCACCTGTCAAAATCAAAGTAGGTCCCAGAGCCGTTCTGTTGAGGTTGGTGGTTAGCACCAGAACTATGTGCTGGAGGTGGAATCCGACCTGCAAAATATACAATAATGATTTATTATATAATATACTAATCACTTTCCAGAATTATTACACACCAAAACGTCTAAATCATCAAAATATATCGGCGACGCTAAGATTGCTACAGTTGATTGCCTACAGAAGCAATTTTTTTAAGCAGGATCCCAAACTAGAAAGTTTGACAAGATAGTCTTTGCATAGTTATCTTCACGGTTGTTGACGGTTACGTCACAAATAAGTAAACAGATTGACCAACTGTACAGTGCAGTGTTTAAATTTCCTAAGGGGAAATGCACACTGTGCAAGCAGATCCTTAACGCAGCTGCTACTTGCTCTTGCACATACATTCTGTATAGGAGGAAGGGCGATCAGACACAGATCACAGCACTTTACATGTATTGCTATGTCTTATATCAAAGATCAACAAAGGTATACTTAAGTCGCATGCCCATAATAAGCAAATTATTCAGAACAGTGTGAGAGAGATATAATAAATCTTGCTCGGTGGTGTTGTACTAATAAGATCAACATCAATTTGAATAAATGCTACTGGCACGGATATTACATATCTTGAAAGGTGACATTTTGTCGTTTTTTTACATATCGTAGGATTTTTGTGACATAACGTAGGTTTTTCTACAAGAAGTTAACTTAGCACAAGTTTTTGTACACTTGTTGTCTCGTTTTGTAGCTGAACGTGTTGCCTAAACGTCAGCCAACATCTATCATAGCGAGCAAACGTGGAATGAACTATTTGCACAGTCGGTTTTTTTACGTTTTTTAGCTTTTTTACAAAATACCCCTCCGATAAGCTTCAGCCGTGGTTCAAATTCTCTCAAAATCGTGATCTACCCAAACATCTCTCTGTAGAAATTTTTCGAATTTTATATTGCTCTTTGGTGGAGGTATTTTGGAGTTCAACACAGTGGTATGGTCGCCAAATTTAATCGAAGCAGTACAAGGTAAATTTTTAAAACAGACAGCTATTAAAATGGAGCGATGTCAGGTTGGTTCAGAACTAATGAGAACTTGAACATAGACTCCTCGAAGCACAGCAGGACATTTTTTGATGTTTAAAATAGTTAATGGTGTCATAGGTTGCAGAAAAACACCTTAATGTTAATAAAACACGAACTTTCAATACAGAGCTGTTTACGATTCCACATCACTCTACCAATTATGGTTTGGTATGGCCAGTAACTAGAATTCTTATATCTGACAACGCCGCTGTAAGCAACAATATAATGGGTGATTTTTTTGCTAGTATCTTTTTGGCAACACTGTTTTGACAGATGACGCGTGAATCGTGTCTTGTGACATTGTCATAACTTGTTCAGTTTGGTCTATAATTTAACCATGAATCGACTTACGAACGAACAACGCTTGCAAATTATTGAATTTTACTATCAAAATTCATGCTCGGTTAAGAGAGTGCATGGAGCACTGCTTCCAATTTATGGGCAATTTGGTCGGCCTACTGAGGGAGCTATTCGGAAGCTTGTCACTAAATTTCGAACCCAGTTTACATTATTGTACATTAAACCACCAACACGCAGACGTAGAGTGAGGACTGAAGAAAATATTGCGGCTGTATCCGCCAGTGTTAGTGATGACCGTGAAATGTCGATTCGCCGCCGTTCGCAGCAATTGGACCTCTGTTACTCCACTACGTGGAAAATTTTGCGACAGGATTTGGGTGTAAAACCTTATAAGATACAGCTGGTGCAAGAATTGAAGCCACACGACCTCCCACAACGTTTCCAATTTGGTGAATGGGCGCTGCCAAATTTGGAGGACGATCCACATTTTTATCGAAAAATTGTGTTCAGCGACGAAGCTCATTTCTGGTTGAATGGGTACATTAACAAGCAAAATTGCCGCATCTGGAGTAAAGACCAGCCAGAAGCATTGCAATCTGTAGTGCTTCTTTGGAAGAAAACACGTCTGTGAGCTTATACATGGTCCGCGCATAGAGGCCGATTGCACAGTTATGTGAGAGGGGATGGATGTATAAAAGTAATTCCTGTAGTTTTACTATGACCCGATAAAAGCCGTGAAAAGACCTATAGAACCAAGAATTATAATCAAACGCAATAGTTATAATTTTGCTTAGAGAAGTTGAGAAAAATTGATGCATGTATAGTAGTTTGATACTCTCCGATTTCTCTGTTTCAGTCTGAGAGAGTTGAAAAGGAAAAACCTAATCAAATCTAACAATTTATTGCTTTAAACTTTAGTCCGAAAATTTTTATGTAATTTGTGTTGCGTGCTGGAAATGCACAAGAAAGAACATTGATCTGAATCTAACTGCTATACGTCCCTGTGACCAACAGTATACGGCGCCGTTTCATGCCGGTTAGCAATAATCGTTAGCGTATAAGTTTTGAGGACAGACAATAGGAAGCAAACATTTTGGTGTACGGAAAAACTCAGTAAGTAGTGCGCAAGGAAGAAAGATCCAAAACAAATCCCACAAGAAAACTTACTCGACAAATTATGCAACTCAGGTACGTTGGGTTTCTCGCTGCTCTTCCTCCTTTTAATCGGCGGCTTAGGTTCAGCTTTGATCTCCACCTGTGGCACCTGGCAACTTTGCTGTTGCTGGAGGTTCTTGACGATGCTCATCGGGTCACCGCGACAGCTGGACAGGTCCTGGAGCGTCACCTGGTGACCGCCGTTCGCTTCGTAGTACGACGTTTGCTGCCTTTCGCTGCCTATAACGATACGCTGTTGCTGTTGTTGCTGGTTTGATTCTTGGCTACGGGACATCTCCAGGCTGTTGTAGCTGTTCGACGATTGCGACTGGTATTTCGGGCGCTGTTGCTGGCCTGGTTTTGGAAGCATTTTTATTAGCCGGGGATTCCATGTATCACGAAATGTCATTCATATTATCAAAGAATACAGAGTTGCCAGTAGAAGAGCCACTTCGACGAAAAAACAGATTCCGCCGTGGTGAGATGATACCCGAGTGGTTGAAATGCTACATGCCATTTGGGTGCATCATTTGTTTGTTTATTTCAGATTTATTTAGCATTAATGCTACAATATACATAATATCCATATTACACAGTATATCACAAAATATATTGTCTTCAAGACTACATATTTTTATACAAAATTTCACTACTATGTATTCTGGTTTTCCGTGAGATATTTTTTCAATTTCCCTTTGAACATTTTCAAACTGACATACATCTTGATATCATTACTTAATTTATTAATTTAGTACGATCCATTTTGAAATACTGACTTGCTCGTTATATTGCTACTGCAGTTTTGTAAATGAAAGTCATACGTCCTCTAGTAGAATAATTGTGGCACTAATTGCTCAATATAATAAAATTTTCTAAGGGATTTGGTAGAAGATGATTTTTTAACTTGAATATGAAAATGAAAACCAAGTAGGCTATTCAAATTTTTGATATTTAGCCATTGTAGTTCTTTCAGCATAAAATTTATTCTAGTATATTCATTTTTATTCAAGATGATTCTCATAGCTTTATTTTGTAATATTTGTAAATGTGAAAATACAGTTTCAATTGCAGTGACCAAAATAGTCGAACAATATAACAAATGAGGAAGAATGGTGTTGTACACAATTTTTTTAGAATAAATGCTTAGGCTACGCGAAATTCTATAAAGGTAATTTAATTTCTTGGATATTTTTGAAATAATATATTCATAGTGCCCTTCATATTTTAATTTACTGTCTACGTATATGCCCAAATATTTAAATGATTCGATCGACACAATTTTTTCATGATTAGTTGTAAGATATCGTATTTTGATCTAAGGATTTTCCTATTAGCATATATTTGGTTTTGTTTGTTTAGTTTAAGTTCATTTACATTTAAAAAATTTAGTACGTTTTTCATATCATTATTTAACAGCTCTATTGCAGTTTCAATATCTTTATTTGATTAATGTCTCATCAGCAAATAGTTGAGTTTTGCAGTGTTGTAAAATATCAGGAATATCGTTAATATATAAAATAAATAGTAATGGGCCTAATTTGCTACCCTGTGGCACACATACCGAAATGTTTTTAAAGTTTGATAATGTATTGCCAATTTTAGTTCTTTGACTTCTATTTATTAAATAATTTTGTAATAAGTTGAATACTGAACCTTGAAGTCTCTAGCAATGCAATTTCGTTAATAATTTCTCACTGTCAATAGTCTCAAATCCATTCTTTACCTGCGGTAATAGTCGAGGAAGTATCTTCACATCTGCTAAGAAAAATATTCCGACTAGGTGTTTTGGGGGCAACATGAAGATTCTTTAAAAGAGTCTTTGTTATTAAGATTATGCGAAAAATCAATCAAAATATTTTTCTGAGCCGATGCCAAGATATTTCCTGGACCATAAAGAATGACAAAAACAAAAAGGTACCCTAAATCCTAGCTAGGTAGTCGATGGCCGGCATCTGATACGATCGCAAGCAATTTGGAAGTGGGGCACGTGGTTGTTGTGTGATGTCCAGGGTGATTCATGATGACAATGTGGTTTCGCTTGTCTGGATGTAAAACAAAGGAGGGAAATGGGGTGCCGATGTTTCGTTTCCCTTCTAATGATGTTAAGGAAGTCTTTTATTCGAAAATATTTGAAATCCGTCTTTCCATAGAACAGAAAAACGAGATATGACAAATTTTATATTTAGTTTTACTACTAATAGCAGACATTTACAAAATTATTTGAATTCTACCATTGATTATATATTATACGAGGTTTGTCCCGAAAATGCGCATAAAAAATTCGGGGCGTCTGTCAACGCGTTGTGGAGGGGTGGTCTCGTGGTTCTCTCTCTGTCTATGCAATCCCCTCTATGCTCAGTTCGAGCCGGAGGATTTACGTGTACTTGTTGAAAGTAATCCTTTTTTTACCTGTAGTAGGCATGGAGCTCTCTCTGATCGAGCAACAGCGTATCAAGTTTCTTGCATAGCTAGCCAAGAAGGGTCGTGAGATTTTTGAGTGTGTGGAACAAAACTACAGAGACAATTCTCCGAAGGAACCAACCGTCAACAAGTGATTGAAAAGCTTCGGGAAGGCCGAGAAAATGTAAAAAAGACCTTACAAATGAAAACTTTCAGCGATCTTGTCAACAGTGGAAACGCCGTTGGCAGAAGTGCATCTTGTGTCAGGGGAGTACCTTGAAGGAGACCATATTGAAACACACGAACAATTGGAAAATACAGTTACTATTCCACTTTTATACGTATTTTCCGGAAAAACCTCGTACATATCTCCTGTTATAAAGGGTCTCCAAAAAGTATGGGGACTCGATAAAATTTCTTAAAAATCATGAATAATATATAAATAAACACAATTACTCGATGCCATTACAAAAATTTTCTGGGCAACCACTATCCTGTATAAAGCAATACAAAATTGCAGCACCTTTTCCATTCAGGCACCTAACAAATTCTGCCAAGTACCTCGGTGTCACCCTTGATGAAGGCATGAGTTGACAGAAACATACAGCAGCCTTGAAAACAAAATTCCAAATTGCGTTTCGGCAACTATATCCTTTGTTATGTAGATCCTCCAAATTGAGAATGATAAACAAAGTTCGCCTATATAAAATGAGACCATCCATTACTTATGCATGTGCGGCTTGGTGTTTTCTTGCCAAGACGCACATGCAAAGTCTTCAAGTGCTGCAAAGTAGAACTTTGCGAACAATTTGCAACGCTCCATGGTATGTCTCAAACGAGCCATTACACAGAGACATTGACATTCCTTACTTAAAGGATTATGTCAAGCTTCAGGCGCAGCGACGTTATAGTCAAGCGGAATCGCACAGCAACCCTCTGTTGCGCGACGCAATGGACTACACACAGCGGAGCAAGTTCGTAAACATTCAAGGCCACGGCTCGCAATGTAATAAAAAAAATTAGCGCGAACTTTTAGAATCAAAATGTGTTTAGTTCACCTCAAAATTAATCCGTGTACCAAGTCAAAAAGCCTGGGTGTTTCCTCTTAAACTAAACACTTCTATATTTCTTTGCTCTTCTCTTTCCCTTTCTCTTTTTTCTTGACACTGTCTGGTTTCTGGGCAACCAGTACTGACAGATTCGACTAACGTACCTTAGACAGTGACTAATGGGCAAAGGTCCTACGGACCGCTCAGACAAACAAATGACGGACAGTAACATCCGAATTCTAGGAAAAAATGTCGGCAGCTTTAAAAGTTCGAAGATCAAAGGTTTATTCGTCCCTTCTACTGGTTATTCTGTATTCTTTGATATTATATTCACGTATACAAATTCTGCAGGCTATACATGCAACTTTGAGTATTGGAATAAGGTGACAGACGTACAGATGATTGCTAGTGCTTATTAATTGTTAGCAGTATTAAGAGTACCTATGCAGGGTGGACTTAAATTGCGGCATCAACATCAGAAGTCATCATAATTAAAATACTTTTTAGTAACGTTCATCACTACTTGTCCAAAGTTGTACGCAAAGCCTGCCGAATTCGTCCATTAATATACGATGGACATTTCGTGGTATATAGAATCTCAGACTATAATTATTTAAGCGAAACTACTGCTCCAAGTAAATTGTGCGTAAAAACGAGGAGCAAGGATTTGTTTTGGGTCTTATTCATTCATCTATCATACACAAGTCGTCTTAAAATTAGCATAAAAATCGTAGGAAATGAAAAAATACATGTATACACAAACGACAATTAAAAGGATTTTATAAACTACCATTCTTGAATAACAATTTTTCTCAGCTTCCTTTCTATCAGTTCTAACTTCTCTTACCCTCATATCAAATAAAAGGAAATATATTGTATATGAAGATGCTTCTTCTTTCATTCTTATGTGCTGAAAACTTATTTGCCCATCTTTTGACAGAAACGCCATCTATAAATGATAGTCGCGAACACCTTACTTGAACATGCTACAAACAAACCATTGTCATATGACGTCAGCGTTGGACTATATCTTAACAAAAACTGCACATCCTCCAGCAGTCGCGACATCATGTTGATGAATTTCAGTGGGCTTTCTGCTCAACACGAACTACTTCTATCTAAATTCTTGACACACATGAATCAAAAAGGACTAAAAATCAAAGAAAGCTGACATATAAGCTCAATATTTTGTTCACACAGCCTTCTTAACCAATTGTTTAAGTTTCAGCAACATTCATCAGAAAATCATCTGCAAAGGGTCAGGGGCGGAGCATACGCATCGCGAGCCCCGTATTGTCTCACCGTGAGAAACTATACAAAATATCAACATTTTAGAATCTCAAGACGTTGAGGAAATGGTACACTGAAGGCTGACCCAGCATGGATAAAAGCGTAAAAAAGACCAAACGTTCTCTCTCTTAAAATCCCTCAAGTTACCTTGACGTTCGTCCCAACAGTTGACCGGCTGTTGTTGCTGTTGCTGCTGAGGCTGTTGCGCTCTGGTGATGACAGATGGATAAGCGATGTTGCTGCCACCTACGCCTGTCTGCGAGTTCGGCCTCGGTACGGATACGTCAAGCGGCGACGGTGGCGCCACCTGTTGTTGCTGTTGATTATTGGAGCTTTGCTGCTGTTGTTGCTGAGGCGAGGATATCGAGTTCATCGGGCTGTTGTACATCGGGTAGGCGGGACTTTGCGCGTGACCTAGAACGAAATTCAGTTGGAAAAATGTCGTCAAGTAGGTTCACTCTGCACGTTCCACGAAATGCCATCATAAATTCATAAAGGACCCATGAACGTTACGATAATTATGCGAAGTTTTAACGGTAAATATGCGGAGAAATCCGTCTGAAGTATGCCTAATACGTGCGTAGGGTTAGCGGGGTTAGAAGCATATAAATATACCCCTACAAAAATTTTTCTGAAAAAGATCAGAATGTCAGAAAAAGGGAGTTTGAACGACTTTTTTTCGGTTTTTGCCCCCTGGTCGGCACTGGTACGATTTTCAAAAACTACAAAGCATTTCGTCTTTGGCACCTTGTGTGAACATTTCATCACAATCCGGCACTTTCTAAATTACAGACGGGCCAAGGATCAGCGGACAGGCTTGCAGACAGACCGATGGAAATCAGTGATATACTCCTAAAATCAAAAGTTCGCATCTTGTTAGCCTACCAAGCATGGTTAAAAACTGTTTTAAAATAATAAACTTAGAATACTCTTCTGAGTGTTATAGGGGAAGGTTTAAACTTTGAAGACAGTTGACAACCTCAAAAAGAATTAACGAAGTTTTCGACATTTTGGACATTGAACTCGAACGGCCAACTTTAGAGAGATGTTACTAATGACCTTTTTTGTTCAGAATAATCCGAAAAAGCTGAAAAAAACTGCCCGGATCGAAAAAATCGGCTATCTAGGTGGACACTGAACTTTGAGAGAATGCTTTGCCATTCAGGGGTCTCGCCGATCTCTATAAACAGCTATAACTAAAATTTTTATTATTATTTTTGATCTTACCAAGTATCTAAATTGAACTTCAAACCTTACTCGACAAGACCTAGAAAAGTATTTTAGGCTTAGTTGATCTTACAGCAATTTTTTCTTGTTTGGTAACAAGTAGCGAACTTTTGATTTTCGCAGACTGTGCGTGTCATCTCATTTTCGTGATTACAATACAACTCGGCAGTGGCTTGGGAAATAAAAAATAAAACATGCGGAAACTCTCGAAGTGGTGAATAAAAACATAAAGTACTGTATTTCATTGTCTTATTTATGGGGTACACTTTCAATAAATTGGCCAATTTTACGAAATAGTTGTATGCTAAAACGTTATTGGCAGCGAAATCCTGTTGATTATGGAGAATTATTGAACTTTGAAAGCATAGAATTTAAATTCCATGCTTTAGGCTACGCGACCATTATGATGAAAATTTTGGAATGTGCCAGGTTCTTCAGGTATTTAAACAGAAAAAAAATTGAGGCTATGCCCCATCTGGGCCTTTTGTTTTTTGTATTTTTCAGTCGCCGACTCTTCATTGACATATTAAAATATATTCAATAGGGCACCCTTCAAATTTCTATCTCTCATGTCTTATTTAGAGATACATTTTTTCCCGTGTGTCGATTATTTTGAAAAACCCACTTTTTTATGACTCAGAACAAGTGTTTTTTATTGCAAACCTTCTACTTCGTCTCTGGTAAACAATCAAGACTAAAATCTTGTCTTCGTAAATTAGTCACTAAACCGAAATATCTGGAAATTCTATTGACAACAATTTAAAGTAAATCCTGGATATTTTTACGTACCTAGAGGCGAGGCCTGCGAATGCGCTTGCAAAGGACTCGGTCTTCGAGGCACTACAACGCCGCAATCAGGCCCGTTTGATGTGTTATATTCTGAGCTCTTAGGTCGCTGGAAGTCTTCAGAGTTTGAGCTGCCCTGTTGTTGTTGCTGCTGAGGTTGCTGTTGCGGTTGTTGCTGCTGGTAGTGCCTGTAGTTGTGCTGGAATTGTGGCGGACGCTTGCCCGACGAGTTGCTGCCGGAGTAGTTCAATCTGAGGAAAAAGTCCCAGGTTCAATCATTCAAACAACCTTTAATCCTTTTTTTTGTTAAAAACCATATATACTAAGTGACATATAAATCCGAACACCCAGTTTAAATGGTTTTATATTAATAAAAGTTGGTGAATGTATTTATCTTACTGTAAATAACAAGTGAAAAAATTTTCAGCCTTATCAGTTGGACATTCCGGTTTTTATACTGCTTTTTTCTAATTCACTACCGCTCTAAAAATGAATATTTCAACCGCAGTAAAGAATCAACGTTGGCGGATTTTGGTTCTTGACATCCTTTACGATCGATTACGATGCCTAGAGTACGGAGACCTGTACGATTTCGTCAACTTAGTGAGTTTGATAGGGGCCGTATAGTGGGACTTCGGAAAGCTGGACTTTCTTTTCGGGCAATTGCAGTTAGAGTGCAAAGAAGTGTAGACACTGTGGTTAGGTGTTGTCAGGCATGGCTTCGAGAAGGCCGTACGCAAAGAGCAAGGGGCACTGGACGCCGCCGTAGAACAACAGACCGTGAAGATCGCCGCCTAAGATTATTGGCCTTAAGGGACCGTTTCTCCACTACCAGGTCCATTGCAAATGAATGGTTTGCAGAACACGGAAGACCTATTGGCATGCGAAGTGTTTACCGACGAATGAGAAGTTTTGGCTTGTTTTCATACCGGCCACTGGGGTCCTCCCTGTAACTCGAGAACACCGACGTAATCGCCTTGAGTGGTGCAGACAACGGTCACTCTGGGATCAGGAATGGAACAGTATTGTCTTTAGTGATGAGCCTCGATTTTGTTTAGGCATGCACGATGGTCGTGCCAGGGTTAGAAGGCGATGTGGTGAAAGGAGGAATCCACAGTTTTTTGTTGAAAGACATGTTCATCACACTGTTGGAGTTATGGTTTGGGGTGCTATAGCTTATGGTTCCAGGTCACCTTTAATCTTCATCAGAGGTAACATGAACGCGCAGCGTTATATCCACGAAGTTCTAGAACCCCATCTTTTACCCTATCTTGACACCCTGGCAGATCCAACTTTCCAACAAGATAATGCCCGACCACATGTTGCAAGAGTCACAATAGACTTCTTTCAACATAATGATGTCACATTGTTACCATGGCCACCAAGATCTCCCGACTTATCCCCAATTGAGCACGTGTGGGATATGATGGGTAGGAGATTGCTCAATTTGCAACGTCCCCCTCAGACTCTAGAAGCACTTCGAGAGGAGTTGGTGGTTGCCTGGAATGAGATACCACAGGAGGACATTGACCACCTGATCAGAAGCATGCCTAGGCGCGTTGGAGAATGCGTAGCACATCAGGGTGCATCCACACATTATTAAAGGTCAAAGGGCTTTAAAGCAGTGCAATCATTTTGAAATTTTTATCATTTACTTATTATGCTTCATTAAGTAATTATACAAAATTTTATTAAAATAAAACCATTTAAACTGGGTGTTCGGATTTATATGTCACTTAGTATATGTATAAGGCACTAGATAGATGCTACTAGTCTTTCCATTCAAGAAAAAATGGGGACAAGTAGACTGACTCTGAACGCAGAGAGCAGTAGCAGCGACGCGTATCGAAAACATTTCTCTATCTTTCATCAAGTTTTAAGGGCAAATGTATGGGGAAAACTATGATGTGTGAAATATGTCTAATAAGTGCGTAGAATTACTAAGATTGAGAGCATATAAGTATACTAACATCAATAAATTGAGATATACCCATCCCCACCCCCTATAGCCTCCTACCCATTGTTTCCAAGAAAACCCTTAGGAAGGTCTATAAATCTGTATCTAGTGTTGAATATGAGATAAGAAGAGTTATATAACTCACCGTCCCGGCGCGTCCATGATGGAAAAACTAATCGGCGACGACTGACTTTGCTGTTGTTCTTCCTGCCCGCCCGCGCTTCTGCCCCCTCCACCGCCCCTCCTTTCCTGTTGACTGTTCAGCTCCGAGTAGATTTTCGTCTGCGCCTTCGTCTGCACCTGCTGTTGTTGCTGTTGCTGTTGGGCTTGCTGTTGTTGCTGCTTTGCTGGCGGTGACGCGAACGCCTTCTCGATGCGATCGCCGCCCCCTTGCTGCTGGTTGGGCGAATTCAGGAAGCTGGAGCGCGGTTGGGGCACGCGGTACTCCTTTGATACCGTCGTCGAAGCCGAAGACACTGAAAAATAAATCACAAAGTTATATTTTACCAAGTAAGATAATCTGCAATCTAATAATCCACCATGTCTGCCTGGCCACATAGGAGGTCTATCAACTGGCGATGTAGCATTCGATCTGGCAACACTGGAGGCGCGGGGATACAGGGTATGGTGTATCTGAAGTCACTTGAAATAGCATAAAAACCTTTGGTCGGCGCGTCCTTTGTAATTTCATGACGTATCATAGGCGTGCGGCATTTATTTAGAACGATAATAATAATGTTTTTATATCACAATAAATGGATTTTACTATCTTCTTATTTTTTTGATTTGGGATGAAAAATACTTATATTGGGAGTTTAATTTATGTTGACTGAAAGTTAAGAAATGGAAAAATTACAGAATTCCAACGTTTGACATAGGCAAATATTTACATAGCAGGTAGGTATATAAAAAGGTATATAAAGACTTACATTATAGGTATTTATATATCATCCTCGCCTTCGGAGCTGTCGCTAGAGTCATCTTGTAGAGGAATTACAACGGGATTTACAGGAGGCAAAACACAATATTCATTTTCTTTTTCAATAATATGCCTAGAACACTGCTTCCATAGGTCTGTGGCAGCAATATGAGATACTGCATCTCTTATTGTGGCCAATAGCGATTCACTTAATTGAGGGGTCTGATTATGTTTTCTTACTTTTTTTTTTTAAAGCAGCCCAGACCAACTCAATCTGGTTAAAAATGCAGTAATAGGGAGGTAGACGTAATACTTCATGGCCATTTTGCTGAAGCAGATTGTCAACAACATACTCTTTTTCAAATTTTTGTCTTTTAATAAGATCCAATAATATGGCTTTGGTTGATTTTTGTGGTATTTCCATTCCCTTATCCTTCATAAAATCAATAATGTCTTGTTTTTTTGTGCCTGTATTCGGAATTTTGTTTTTCTGTCGGGAATGGTATGGCGCATTGTCCATAATAATCACTGAATTTGGGGAAATGTTTGGTATTAACTGCTGCTCTATCCACTTTTCAAATAAGTCGGAGGTCATGTCCTCATGATAGTCGGCACATGATTCTTTGATATTTTTGGCAGATAACAGCAAGGCATTAGGTATAAATCCATGTTCACTGCCAGCATGGAGAATAATGATTCGTTTTCCACGGTTGCATGGTGCATTTAAAATGCACTTGTTGCTGTCGTCAACCCAGCCGTACTGCACAACATCATGGGTATCATACCACGTTTCATCCAGGTAAATCAGATTTCTTTTCTGCTCTCTATAGATTTTAACTTTGTGCAAAAATTCTTGGCGCAATTCAACGATTCGAGACGACTCCATAATCACCATTCTTTTATCTATTTTTTTGTATTGTAAGCCACACAGTTTTACAAAACAGTGCAGTGAGTCTAAGCATTTGTAATTATAAAAATCTTCAGGATAATCTTTTAATTTATCCCGTATCATTCCCAACGTGGGCACCAAATTTTCTTTATAAAATCCGTATATTATACGACGAATATCCTGAAAACCGACGTCTATTCTTTTTAATTTTTGCCCTATGCGCTTTCTGTGGAAGGAATGGTTGACTACATCTCCCCTTTTTATAACCCGATAAATGGTAGACCGACTGATTTTTGTCAGGATACAAATTCTGTTTAAAATTTGATTTTGCGAGGAATCTGGATTTTCGTTTTTCAGACAATCATACATATTTAGGATTACTCTTTGGGTCTGTTCCTCTAAATCTTTATGAAAGAATTCTGCCTGCACAGGTTCATCAACCATCTCTTCGTGGCTTGGAGCATTTTCCCAAGGTCTCCAAAGAGCCATATTTAGGACACACAAGAACAATCAACACAACAATTAAATCAACAAGTAAACCGAGTATTCAAAAGTCAAAAACACACAAACTAATAAAATCTATGAAAAAACACGGACAGACTAAAGAAAACACGTTTATTCACCGCTACACGGCACTGGCTAAACTGTTTCAATTTTCAGTAGCCACCTGCACTTGTTCCGAGCTCTGAAATACACGCTTTCTCATTGGCTATGTCCACGCATAGGCGTGCTTTACTCCACGTGGACCGGTGAAACTGCCTTTGATCTCTTATACGGGGGATATTTGCTGCGAAATTTGGCGATTTTTGCAGCAACAGAGCGTGTTAAATATAGATATACAAAACGCACCCGGTATTTCACAGTGTTTCAAGTGACTTCAGATAAAGTATACATGTAATCCGCATTCAGTGCAAGTTTGAACTCAGTGGAGTCATTTGGTAGTCCGTTGCAATTTTTTTATGTTAAACAGTTTTTTCTAAAAATGAGTGACATCAATTCCGAGCAACGGTGTACTATCAGGAAACTCTTGCTAACTTCAGCAGGCCTATGAAGACAGGTTTTTCGGTGGTTTAAGGCATTTTCAGAAAGGAGAGAGTCGATTAAAGATGAACCATGAAGCGGGAGGCCTTCATCTTCAAGAACCGATGAAAATATCGACAGAATCCGGGATCTAGTGCGATCAGATCATCGGTTGACAGTGTGAATGATCGGGCATAAGTTACATTCGGATTTTGAGCAGTAATTTGAGGATGAGAAAAATCTGCACAAAAATGATCCAAAAAACCATTCGCAAGACCAAAAGAACATCAATTAGGAAAGGTGCCTTGATTTTTTGATTCGAATGAAAATGACCCCCATCTTCTGGAACGTGTCATTACTGATGACGAGTGTTGGGTGTTTGAGTACGACGCGGAAACCAAGCGCTACCAGCAAGGAGCGGCACAATTCACCCTCGCCAAGGCCCAGAATGCAAGCCATGATTATTTAGGGATTAAAGCATACAATAAACTGGAATCTACCTGATAATACTTTTGATATATGAATTCCACCATTCATAGCTTGTGATTTATACTGGGACTCTATGTTCTTTTTCTTTAAAGTTTCTTAATGTGTACTGTAACTATCTTATACCATTCGTTGTTTTTATGTCTGAGTTAGTTTCAGTATTTTCCCGTTATTTTTTTTAATGAATCCTAATGATCCATGTATCATAATGATCTTTCCAAAACATATACACACTCTTCTGGAATAAAGATATACAGGGTGTTTCAGTTTATTGTTGCATAACTTTAAGATTCGATAGAACTTTTAAAATTAATGCATAAAGTCTATATAAACATGGGTCGAAAAATGCGTGGCTTCCGAAATACAGGGTGTTTAAATTTACTTTTTAAAATAGTTTTTTTTTTTAATATTTCGAACAATATTTGACGTTTAACAGTGAAAATTGGTATACAAGGGTTTTTTGGTACGACAAAACGAACCATGGGCATAGTTTTATTGTAGCCGCTAGAGGGCGCTCTCTACTGTACCTGTAGTGTATTAAAATGACCGAAAAATTTTTCTTAGTGCAATTTTTTGCTTTTTGAATGAAAAAGCTGATTCTTCGCACTTTTCTGCATAAAAAAGCTCTCCTGTGAGTTTTTGTTATAGTTAGCCGTTTTTGAGATATTTCGATCTTTAAGGTTCGATGCATTTTTAATTATTTATGGGAAAATAATATTTTTTTTACATTTTCGATTTGGGCATTACAATTAATTAAGATGATCGTTTAGATTGTGTTTTTAAACACAGCAATAATTCCTAACTCCAAATAAACACAAAAAACAGAATATTAATTTGTTTAATTTTTCAATATTATTTTTAACAAATTAAATTAATTATTTAGAACTAAAATGCTATTGGATAGTTAGGACAAACATACAAAATCTAAAGTAGTTGCTCGAAATGTAAACCCAATTGTTCAATACACAATTCACATCTACGAATGATCGAACGTGGTATAGCATTATTCAAATAAGGCCTTATTTCATCACATGCAATCCTGATTCTGTCTATTAGCATATCTCTTGTGGTTTCGGGAATCTGGTACACTTTTTCTTTTTGAAATCCCCGCACAAAGAAATCTAATGGACTTAGGTCAGGGGATCGTGGAGGCCAGGCGACTGGTCCTCCACGGCCGATCTATCTTTCTGGATAATTTTCGTCCAGCCAGTTTCTAGCTATTCTCGAATAATGAGCTGGACAACCATCAAGCTGGAACCAGGCCAATCTTCTTAAATCTAACATAACATCATCCCACATATTTGCATGTTCGGCCTTTAAAAATTCCAAGAAGGTCGCAGCATTTAACCTTGCAGGCAAAAGGTAGGGTCCAGATAGTCGATTACGGTAGATACCAATCCACACGTTCACACTAAATTCATGCTGAAAATTTCTTTCCCGAACTGCATGCGAATTTTCATGCGACCAAATATGTTGATTATGAAAATTTACCACTCCACGTCTAGTGAAGCATGACTCATTGGTCCATAAAACGTTACTTAAAAACTCCCTATTATTATCAGTTCCATCAAGAATCCACTGACAAAATGTGATTCTTCGTTCTCCGTCCCCTGGCTGTAGTCCTTGCACAGGTTGCAGATGGTAAGGACGTCTATGGTCATTTCTAAGAACACGGTGAACATGGCTTGCTGAAATTCCTAAGACACCAGAAACTCTCCTAACACTTGTGGTCGGATCTCTATCAAACTCACGCAGAATCATACGGGTAAATCTGCGCTGACGAACATTTATGTTTTGATCCCTTTGGAGATTTCCAAAACCATTTTCCATTATTTGGCGATGCACTCTTACAAATACTGAGCGAGTTGGAAGTCGTCTGTTTGGAAATCTTCGTGCGTATTCTCTGGCTGCTTCTGCTGCGTTTCCATTTACAAAGCCATACACAAAATGAATATCCGCTAACTCTTGATTGGAGAATAGAAATGGCATTTTTATAAAACTTACAAAAAAAGGTAAAAGAAACTAAATTTCGTGCATTCACAATTGCAAAAAAACGTTTAACCTTATTCTGCTTTCAATTTCAAAAATATTTGCAGGCACAGCCTACTTCTAAAAATTATCTTTTTTTTACGTTATTTTATCATAAATAATTAAAAATGCATCGAACCTTAAAAATCGAAATATCTCAACGGCTAACTATAACGAAAATTCACAAGAGAGCTTTTTTATGAAGAAAAGTGCGAAGAATCCGTTTTTTTATTCAAAAAGCAAAAAATTGCACTAAGAAAAAATTGTCGGTCACTTTAATACACTACAGGTACAGTAGAGTGTCCTCTAGCGGCTACAGTAAAACTATGCCCATGGTTCGTTTTGTCGTACCAAAAAACCCTTGTATACCAATGTTCACTGTTATACATCAAATATTGTTCGAAATATTTAAACAAAAAACTATTTTAGAAAGTAAATTTAAACACCCTGTATTTCGGAAGCCACGCATTTTTCGACCCATGTTTATATAGACTTTATGCATTAATTTTAAAAGTTCTATCGAATCTTAAAGTTATGCAACAATAAACTGAAACACCCTGTATATCTATCCGGGAAAATCCCAGCAAGTGAAATACTGTTATAATTTTGAGCTCAACTTTTGGCACGAATTGTTAGGATTTGTATGATTTGCTACATACCTATACAAGACTGCTGCATATTCGAAGTGTTAGCAGAGGAGTAAGCCTTGCTGCTATTGGAGTTGGTCTCTGCCATCGAAGCAGGCGGCACCTGGAAGAACGAACCGGAATTCTGCTGCTGCTGGGAACTGTTGCTGGAGTTCTTTGCACCGCCCTGAAATTATGAATTAACAGTTAACAGGTAAATACTGATGTTGTGACTAACTACTTCTTTGAGTACCTGTATATGCACCCAAGACTCTTAATTAATACTTTTGAGATCATGATTATACCGCGGAATACATTCATCGAGCAATTCCGTCAAATATATAGGGTTGTCCAATAGGGACGCAGGAAAGTAAACGTCAATTTGACATAGACGCCATCTTTGTTTTCTGTCACCGACATGTCATTTTGTTAGTTGAATGTTTACCATTGATCGCTATGGAGTCGTATTCGATTGAAGACCGCATTAAAGTTATTCAAGAGCACTACAAAAATGGTGCAAAAATAAAAAACACGTTTCGCGCGCTTCGTGAACATTTCGGTCGCAACAACCGCCCAAACGAAACAACCATCGGTCGTCTGGTGCGTAAATTCGAGGCAACAGGTTCTGTGGCAAATCTGCCAGGCTCTGGCCGGCCAAGGAGCGTTCGCACACCGGAAAATATTGCTGTTGTGGAGGAGAGTGTGAGAGACGATCCGAAACAATCAACAATGCGTCGATCCCAAGAGTTGGGCATTTCGAGAACCAGTTTGCTCCGCATTCTCCAGAAGGATTTGAATGTACACGCCTACAAGATCCAATTGACGCAAGAGCTGCGTCGGGCCGACCATTTTTCGCGCCGAACGTTTTCAGATTGGCTCCTTGAACACCGCTAAATTGATGCCAAATTTTCATCAAAAATCATGTTCAGCGACGAAGCGCATTTCACTTTGAATGGGACGGTAAACAAGCAAAACTGCCGCATCTGGGCGAACGAAAATCCCCGTGAGTATCAAGAGCAGCCGATGCATCCTCAAAAAGTGACTGTGTGATGTGCATTGTGGTCAAAAGGCATCATCGGACCTTACTTTTTCGAAAATGCGGCCGGGGACGCCGTTACCGTCAATTCTGAGCGATATCACGTGATGATAGAGGACTATTTTGTGCCGCAACTTGAAGGAATGGATATGGACGATGTTTATTTCCAACAAGACGGTGCAACATGCCACACAACCAACGTCAATATCCATCGATTGCAGTCATTCTTCGGTGATCGCGTGATTTCGCGAAGAGGAAATGGCCATGGCCACCAAGATCGTGCGAGTTGACTCCCTTGGACTTCTTTTTATGGGGATATTTGAAAAGCAAAGTCTACGTCAACAAACCAGCCACCCTCCAAGAACTCAAAAACAACATCATTGCCGAGATAAATGCCATAGAACCGAACATGTTGCAAAATGTCATTGACAATTTCGACCATCGCGTGGATGTCTGTAAATTCAGTCGTGGTGAACATTTGAGCGATATTATTTTTCATACATAAATGGTATAAATAAACCTTCAAAATAAAGTACCCAACTTGATTTTAATATCAATCTTTCACGTTTTAATATGCGTTTACTTTCCTGCATCCGTTTTGGACAACCCCATATATTTGGAAACACGGCAGATATCCCTCATTTACAGATAATCAGTTTTAAATAGATGTTTGCCCCATATGCACTGAAGGCCATTGCAGAAGATCAAGGTACTTGATTATTTTATATGGCTTTATAAAACATTAAATTAGTGTTGTACTAAGTAATACTAAAGTTACAGTTTCAGTAGGACAGAGTGTAGAATAAAAGTGTATTAAAAATAAATTTGGACCCCACATATAACGAGTTCAATCGACCACATTGCAAAAATATTTGTTTTGTATTAATTATCACTAGTTTTCAAAGTTGAGTCATTAATTTTAACTGCTTGAATGACTCGTCAAAAGGAGATTATATACCAAAAATCACCATTATTAACAAGATTGTAAAAACTAAATAATGAAAAAGATGTCGCAGCGAACAGATTTGAATAACAGAGACTTGTCAGCTGTCAAAAGCCAGTGACATATTCCAGAGCAACTAGTTATTTATTGCTAAATTGCATTCTTCAAATATTACATTAATTTTCTCAGACAATGGAACGATTTTTATTTTTTTACTCAAAAATGGTGCATCGAAGGAAAACAATTCAAGAGTTTTGAATTGAACGGGGAATTCAAAAATAATTTTTATTTGGCAAAAAACCACTGGCGTACCATTTTTTTCTTAAAAAATATCGAAGTCAATACCGGTACGCACGCCACTGTTAAATCTAAACATTATTTTTGCATTGAAAAATATGCAACTTTATTAGCTTTCACTAAGTACTAAATATCAGTGAAATATCAGAAGCAGTTCTGAAAATATTAATTAATTTCCATTTTTTTCCTAAAACTTCAACACCCCCCAAGTTTTTGTAAGGAAACATTTTTGGATCATAGTTTATAAAGCAAACTAACATTAATTTTTCATGTAGATTCACACCCTTAAACATTCGCATATCATTAAGGAACACCCTGTAGAGGTGATTTTTGGTATATCAACTTCTTTTGACGAGTTATACAAGCTATTAAAATAAATGACTCAACTGTATTGTATAATGTAGAATTCTGATTATTTATAATCTGCATAGGGGCAGAAACCTGTTTAACTGGAAAAAAGGCATTAAATGCTCCATGCTTCTTTAATTTTCAACTGATACTACCCTAGGATGAAATGAGGGTTTTGGTAACGATATTAGCTCTATGGTCACAACTTCACAACAGCCAATTTTGACAATCTGGTATACTCTTACAGCTTCGTTGTATTTCTCTTCGGTAAATTTACACCTTTGAAGTCCACCCAAATCTGCTTAAAATACCCTTGACATTCACAAAAAATTATCTTAACGTCAGCCCAAACCAATTCGAGAACTTCCACATTCTTTTGCATGTCGCCAAAACGTCACTATCAAAACCGTTCTGGACCACTGTCAAAAAATTCTGTCATGTTTACAACTAGAACCGCTTGTGGAAATAATCCGCTTTTTGGAGACCAACAAATCATATACTTAGTCTGAATTCGTCGATTAGGACACTATTTATTACCTGTTGCTGTGGACTTTGCGACCTGTTGGCTGCCGCAGCCGCGGCCGCCTTGCTCATCTGCTGCTGGGCGGCGTTGATGTGATTGTTGATGGTCTGCGCTGCGGCAAAATGGGCGTTGAATCCCTCGTACGACTTGGCTGCTGCAGATGCCGCCCCCCCGCCGCCTCCGGCGCCCGTCGCAGCCGCGGCCACCACGCTTTCGTGGGGGAGGATGCCGAACGGGCTGTTCTGCTGCCACGCACCCGCTAAAGGAAACACTTAAACGTAACGATCGGTTCACTGAATTGATGAAAAAAATGGTCGTGATGAAAAGAACATTCGCAATGAGTGGGAGATAAAATAGACTACGAAATTGTTTTGTAGATGTATAGAACAAGAAAAGTCAAAAAGATAATAGTCTTATCTCTATATCCGGTTAAAGTATCATCCTCTCCTAACGAAACGCCCTGTGTAGTAGGCTAGATGATGAAAATTTAATTGTACATACGAATATACACAGAAAAGGGAAGATTTTGTAAAGTGAGCGGTTATAAAGAGTAACTGGGTTTCATGTGAAGCACATGAAATGAGGTTTTGTGAAGAGGAATTATTTGTGTCTCAGTAAATTCTTGAGTGACAAGGATTTCGAGGGATCAGCTTGTTCTTTAGAAAGGAGGAAATCGACGTAAGCAAGAGCTTGAGTGTAAATTAATGGGTGCAACTGATATAGCTCTCTTCAACCAGCTCAAGTCTCTCAAAGAACCGCTTATATGGTCGTATTTTCTCAAATTATTTATTTTGCAACATGAATTTTGAATTTTTTGTAGACGTGAAAGATATATTGTATCTAAAAATCAATTGAAAACTATATCACAGTAAGTAAATTTTGTTTATAATTATTCTTTTAGTTTGACAATTGAGAATTTGCCTATTCAGATATAAATAACACAAGATCGGAAAGCAGTTCTTAGTAACTTTGTTTACATGAGGTATAAGCTTGAGAGACGTCAAAAAGAATTCCCAAGTTTGATCTAAACTAACATTTAACTTGTTTTTAACATGATTTATTTCTGAAAGGTTTAGGTGAAGAAAATAGTCATTTAGGAGGATTTAGTTGAGGAGATTTTTGCATCTTCAGTATCTGATTTTATCTTCATTGATCTCATATTCAGCGATGTAAGTGTTGCTACTATGGAAGTGGTTATAAATTTGTCATCAGCAAAAAATTGAATACTAGAAATGTTTAACAAATGTGTCCAAATCTGCCATACATAGATTACATAATAATGGTCCGAGTACAGAAGCTTGGGGTACTCCAGATGCATTTTTTGGGCGTATCGTCGTTCCTACAATTGTGGGACGCCTGTATAGCCTCCTTGATTTTCATAGTATTTTCTTTCCTTCAGAAAGGCTGAGGAATACGAGCCCCTTCCCACTTCAGTTGTCCCAACTATTGAAGTCTTAGTTTTTTCTTATCAAACACAAATAATAAAAATGCAGCAGGGTGTTATAGGTTTAAAATATTAATAATGAATATTTTGATAATATATAGTAGAAAACACCAACTTTATCACTCCCTAATCAAATTTGCAGCATAAAAATAACACATGTTGCAATTACAGCATATCAACCTATTTTCATTTCAATGCAAAATAAGTCTATAACGCATAGGTGGCTGTGAAAAATAAAAGCCATGACAATTGTTTTTATTAATCACAGCTGTCAGAATACATTTAAAATAGTTTTGGGTAGTTAAGGTTTTCAAAATGGGTAGAGGAAAGGTTATTAGTGAGAAAATTCGGTTACTGATAATTAAATTTTTTAATTCTGGGAAATTCTACTCAGAAATTGCAACTTTGTTAGACATATCGCGGTACAGTGTGAGAAATATTGTTAGAAGATATAACGTAACTGCATCAGTTAATATTAAGCCACGATATGTGAAAAAAGTAATATCACAAATGCCGACCGAAGAGCATTAAGAAGAAGAATCGTGAAAAACAGGCGTGCCAATTATTTACAATTAATTGCTATGTGAAGTGACGCTGTTGGAAGGAGAATTTCGAGGTCCACAACTCAGAGAGGCCCACAAACTGGGATTTAGCACTTGCAAGGTAAGTTTTCTTATAAAAAAAAAGTGAAGTAAAAACCACTATTAACTCCACTGCAAAAGAAAAATCGGCTTAGATGGGCTAAAGAACATAGACAATGGACACCTCAACAATGGTGTGCAATACAATGGAGAGATGAGGCCCGATTCGAAGTTTGTGTTGGTGACAGTCGCAGTAGAGCTATTCGCAAAAAAATGAAGCATTCCATGTTGACTGTCTGAAGAGAAAAGTGAAATTTCCATCATCCATTATGGTCTCGGGCAGTATGTCATCAAAAGGAGTAGGAAAACTTCATTTTATTGATGGAAATCTGGATACAAACAAATATTTGGCAATTTTAGAAGAATTGCTTTTACCAGTGATGGAAGAATGTTTGACACCCGGCCAAGATTTTGTGTTTCAGCAAGGTGCAGCGTGCCATACCTCAAAAAAGGCTATAAAATGGATGGAAGAAAATAATGTACCACTTTTGAAAGGGGTTTCTAGCAGTCCATATCTGCCACCTATTGAAACTTTGTGGCACGAGATGAAAAAGGTTCTACGACAACATCCTGCTCGTACAATCACCGAACTGAGACAAAAGCTTCAAGAAATATGGGATTTTTTACACCAAATTTTTGCCAAAACTTGGTTAACACTATGCTCCAAAGAATTTCAGCCATAATAAAAAATAAAGGTGATGTTACCTAATAGTAATCTTTCAATTGTTGCTTTGTTAACTTCGCGCATTTATTCGCACATTGTTTATTTGTTCAGATCGTCGGTCTCCGCACGTACCGGCGTAACTAACATTTTACAAATTTTACAGGAGAGCTAGAAAACGAAAATCAGCAATAAATAAGATTGAAAATGACATACTGACGAGATGTTCTATTAGTTATAGGTCTAAGTGATTTCAAATATGTATTTTTTACGACTAGAGTGTATCTAAAATGTTTTTGAGAAAATAAATTGTTTTAGAAGTAAATAGTTTCGTCATGTTTAGTTTATAAAGGCATATTTTGGTACAAATCTTGAAGTGGGCCAACTGAAGTGGGAAGGGGCTCGTATGTAGATTTCCACTGTTCCGTGTCAACGTCAGCGCTCTTCTATTGTGTGTCTAAGTTTTCTTTCTGAATTGTAGGAAATTTCAGGCTGACATAATAGATTATATAAATCAAAAGCATGTACAATTTGAAGCAAATAGATATAACCTCAAAATAGAGCGCTGAAACAGTGGAAAGGCCACAAATTGTAGGGGCGACTGATGATATGGCTCTTAGGTGACACATCCAAATCAATTCGCTAAAAAACACTCATCTTATTAATAGAAGAATGGGAAAAACCGTAAAATTTACATTTACAGTGTAGAACACGATGATTTATGAAGCTCTCGTACATTCAAAACTAACATTTCTGCAGTTTGCTGATATGGAACTGCCACAAAAATATAATTGTAAGCAACCTAAAAACTCACAGTTTGAATTCGGTGGATTTTGCATGTAAACAAAAGAAACTAAAAGGCTGCTAGTGAGGACAAATCTCACTCGGATAAGGGTTGTTAGAGTTTTGGTAAAAACAGACGTGTAATAAATCGAGAAAACCGAAGTGAGATTGTGTGTAAAACGAATGTAGCTGTAATTATGGAATAACAACTTTGAACAAAAACATATTCTCTTGTTTTAGAAATGATAGATACAAATAGAAGTGACAATTTATTTATTAAACTTGTGGAAACCGACTTTTTACATACGAGATACTTATATGCTTTTTTCTTATTTTTTTTTTAATAGCAATTCAATCAAGCTGGGGTTGCGTTTGTAAATCACTGGGTAATGTGATACCGTACAGTAATGCAATGCAGATTGACAGATGAAATTTGATTCTGGAGTACTGTGAAACTTTATTTGTAACCTAAATTATTACAGAGTCATGTAATGACACTTGATGACAGCCGACTAATTTCTAACCACGTTTTCAGCGACCGTTGTATTATTATCATACGAAACGCTATGGAGACAAGGTAGCCGATTTATCAAGAGATATGTACATTTGTATTTCTGTTATAGGGACGCCCCTGTTGAACGGTCGGAGATTTCACCGTACGTATACGACCGCCCACAAGCATTCTGCGCATGTCGAATCGTACCTTGTTCGAAGAACGCCTGCGCCTGCGGATGGAACTCTCCGTCGGAGCCCCCGCTGCTGGTACTTCCGGTGGATGCGGGCTGCTTGCCGCTGACGGCTGCGGCGGCCTGCGCGAGCGCCTGCGCCCGCTGCTGAGAAACCTGCGCCGCGTAATGGGCGGCGGCCGTTGTGGGCGGCTTCGCACCGGCCGCAGCGGCAGCGTGGTGGAACAGCGGCGAAAACACCTGCAAGAAAAGCAATGTTATTAGACAAGTGAGTGTAGCTACCCGTTAAGGACTACAAGGTCTGTCGCAAAGTGAACAGGACAAAGAAAAAAATGAGCAAACATTTTTTGTTTCGGAAAATCGAATTTATTTTATTCATAAATATACTAAGTGACATATAAATCCGAACACCCAGTTTAAATGGTTTTATTTTAATAAAAGTTGGTGACTGTATTTATCTTACTGTAAATAAGACGTTGGCGGATTTTGGTTCTTGACATCCTTTACGATCGGTTACGATGCCTAGAGTACGGAGACCTGTACGATTTCGTCAACTTAGTGAGTTTGATAGGGGCCGTATAGTGGAACTTCGGGAAGCTGGACTTTCTTTCCGGGCAATTGCAGTTAGAGTGCAAAGAAGTGTAGATACTGTGGTTAGGTGTTGTCAGGCATGGCTTCGAGAAGGCCGTACGCAAAGAGCAAGTGGCACTGGACGCCGCCGTAGAACAACAAACCGTGAAGATCGCCGCCTAAGATTATTGGCCTTAAGGGACCGTTTCTCCACTACCAGGTCCGTTGCAAATGAATGGTTTGCAGAACACGGAAGACCTATTGGCATGCGAAGTGTTTACCGACGAATGAGAAGTTTTGGCTTGTTTTCATACTGGCCACACTGGGTCCTCCCTTTAACTCGAGAACACCGACGTAATCGCCTTGAGTGGTGCAGACAACGGTCACTCTGGGATCAGGAATGGAACAGTATTGTCTTTAGTGACGAGTCTCGATTTTGTTTAGGCATGCACGATGGTCGTGCCAATGTTAGAAGGCGACGTGGTGAAAGGAGGAATCCACAGTTTTTTGTTGAAAGATATGTTCATCACACTGTTGGAGTTATGGTTTGGGGTGCTATAGGTTATGGTTCCAGGTCACCTTTAATCTTCATCAGAGGTAACATGAACGCGCAGCGTTATATCCACGAAGTTCTAGAAACCCATCTTTTACCCTATCTTGACACCCTGGCAGATCCAACTTTCCAACAAGATAATGCCCGACCACATGTTGCAAAAGTCACAATAGACTTCTTTCAACATAATGATGTCACATTGTTACCATGGCCACCAACATCTCCCGACTTATCCCCAATTGAGCACGTGTGGGATATGATGGGTAGGAGATTGCTCAATTTGCAAGGTCCTCCTCAGACTCTAGAAGCACGTCGAGAGGAGTTGGTGGTTGCCTGGAATGAGATACCACAGGAGGACATTGACCACCTGATCAGAAGCATGCCTGGACGCGTTGGAGAATGCGTAGCACATCAGGGTGCATCCACACATTATTAAAGGTCAAAGGGCTTTAAAGCAGTGCAATCATTTTGAAATTTTTTTCATTTACTTATTATGCTTCATTAAGTACTTATACAAAATTTTATTAAAATAAAACCATTTAAACTGGGTGTTCGGATTTATATGTCACTTAGTATAATATCATAAGGGCAATTAATTTTTTCAAAAAAATAGAAAAAAAGACGTCGTTAAGTAATATTTTAACAATCCGAGTCGAAGACGAGCATTTTTGCACCTGCACGAATGTGAATCTGTCAACGCTTGGTCCCAGTGGAGCAAACTCGGCCAACTGTTGAAATATACACTACTATGCTTTATAAGACCATACATAGTGGATTTTTTCCCAAAATCGGGCACAACACTTGAACAAATGCAAATGAAAATTTTAAAATGGTATTCCCATGACGCCCCAAATGGCTCCATCGGTATCCCGGGTTATACATCTTGACAGCTTGTCGTTCTTGTCAATTGGCCTGCGGTGTGCGATGTTGTCTTTATTATTTTACATTTTGCTAAAATCTTATGAAAAATCGAAGCTTCAAATGAAATATTGACGAATATGAATGGATATGCATAGAATTTAGAATATAAATTCATATTGCAAGTTTCAGATTGATTATGCATGTGCTTGAACCAAATTTTTCGGTATTTTTAGCGAAATGAGAATGTTTACCGAAAACGTCCACGAAAATTATGAATTGGTTAAATGTCAATAAACTTAAATTAAACACTAATAAAACAAAATGTATGTCAGTAGGGAAACATTTAGGTGACAATACAATTAATTAGGCTCATGATTAATGATGAAAAAATTGAAGTAGTCGAGTCATTTAAATATCTAGGTATATATAAACCTTATGAATACATTATTTCAAAAATTTCAAAAAAGATAAATCACTTCTATAGAGTTTCCCATTATCTTAGTATGTATTCCAAAAAATTGTGTATAACACTATAATTCTTCCCCATTTTTTATATTATTCAACCATCTTGTTTACAGCAAATGAAAACATATTTTCAAAATTACAAATTCTACAAAATAAAGCTATGAGAATCATTTTAAATAAAAACAAATATGCTAGGATTAAGTCTATGTTAGAAGAACTGCAGTGGTTGGATGTGAAAAATTTCATATATTATTTAGTTCTTGTTTTCATATTCAAATTAAAAAATAATTTATTACCACCACATTTAGAGAACTTCACAAAATTAAATAGTCATTATCATAACTACGAAAATAGAGGCAGTATAGATTTTCATCTGCAAAATTGTAATAGTAGCATAACTAGTAAATCTGTAGTTCAAAAGGGAGTATTTGAATTTAATAAATTGAATAATGATATTAAACAGAGTTCGAGTTTAAAATTGTTTAAGGTGAAATTAAAAAATCGCTTTATGAATAATCACATAGTGACGTAATTTTAATTTTAATAGTCAAGAATGTAAAATTACACAAAATGGATTGAAGAAAAATATGTAACTGTATCATTATACAAAATTGACATTGTAGTATTGATGCTAAATAAATCTTCAACAAACAAACAAAAGGTACAGACTGGTAGATTACCCTCATTACCTCATACCTCCTCGCCAGTGACGCGGGAAGTAAAAATTCAGTTAGCATTATTTATAGCATACTACTCAATTACCCTGAAATTAAAACTTCTCCTACGAGTTGCTCTACTTACAGATTCATATCCGACCGGAGGCGGCGACAGAAATCCTCCAGGCAAGGGGGCCCCACCAGCCGTAGTAGTGGAGAGATGGTGAAGATCACCGCCCCCGCCAGCACTACCACCGGAACTGCCGCTGGAACCGCTTCCGGCCGACGAGGTCGCCAGCCGGTTATAGCTGGCGTACCAGGGACCTACTGGGTCCATGGTACCGAGGTTGCTGCCGTAGCCGCTCCTGTTGCTCCTTGTTGTGGTGTGAGGTTAGTGGTGGGGTGTGATGACGCTGCAAGTGATGCTCCTGCGACTGAACGGGTGCAGAAGCAGTCGCTAACGGGGGGGACGTGCCCATCCCATCTGGAAAGACAGTTAAAATTTAGCATTCCCGGACAATAACAAGCTGAATGCGACAAAAATTCCATAAAACTGGAAGGTATTGCTCATAGGTGTATTTGCCAATTGCGCTAAAAGCCCACGCGTATTTCATGATCGCGCACTAGCTGGATGCTAGGCTTTCTATGTGAAAACAGTTTGCGATAACTTGGTGCATGGGACCGGCATGGATATCACGTATCTTGGAAAGTGACATTAGGTCGATTTTTTCTTGACATTTTATTGGTTTTTTGCGACATTATTATTATGTAGGTTTTTCTACAAGATGTTAACTTAGCACTAGACACTTGTGAACTCGTTTTGTAGTTGTATGTGTTGCCTAAACATCATGATGCTTCAGTTATCAATGTTTGGCTCTGATGTGATGTAAAATCTGCTTCAGAGATGGTATTACTGTAGGTCTAAGCTGTAAGTTGTATACTATAGCTAGAAGGAAATGGCAGTGCATAGGTGCATAGTGAGGATTTGTAGTAGTAGTAGTAGAAAGATTTAATTAGCACATAAACAGAATAATTGTAAACAACTTAGAACTAGTAAATGCAAGCCATATGGTGCATGATGTAAATGTTGGGCAACCTATAATTGTAGATTTAACAAGCGATTTCTCAATTCTACTTTAAATTTTGTCAAAGTTTTCTGGTCTTTTATCTCCGAGTATAATTTATTATATTCAATCAACCCTTGATGGAATACAGATTTGTAGCATATGTTATACTTTTTGATAATTAAATGGAAGTCATCTTTATTTCTGGTATTATGTAAATGATGGTCGACATTTAATGATGTTAAATTAGTTAGACTTGATGGAAATATATTATTTTTTACTTTATAAATGAATATCATTACAAGATATTTGATAAAATTTTTTACATTCAGCCATTTTAATTTGCTAAGTATTTGCCTAATTGGAGTATATTTATCTTTATTTAGTATTATTCTCATGCACTTATTTTGTAAAATTTGCAGTCTTTCAAAAATGGAATTATTTGCTAAATATAGAATAGTCGAACAGTACAAGAAATTTGGAAGAATGATGGTATTTTAGATAATTTTTCTGCTATATGAACTCAGACATCCAGAAACTCTCGATAAATATCCCACTTTACTACTAATCTTATTTATAACTTTTTCATAATGAATATCAAAAATTAATCAAGAGTCAACAAAAACCCCCAGGTATTTAAAATTTTCTACGAATTCAATATCTTCACCATCAATATTCAGTTGAACATTTGTACATTGTTTTTTTCCGATCAACAAGGCTTTCGTTTTACTTGCATTTAATTTTAGTCTGTTAGATGCTAACCATTTTGAAACAAGCTTCAAGTCTTCATTTATATAAGAGATACCAGACTGAATATTTTTAGTACTTATATAAATCATAGTGTCATCGGCGAAAATCTGAATTTTGCATTTTTTGACTATGGCAAGTAAATCATTTATGTATAAAATAAAAAGAAGTGGTCCCAGGATACTGCCCTGTTTAACACCCAACGTATTTTCAATTTTTGATGAAATAGTGTCATTAACTTTTGTAACTTGCATCCTTTTAGACAAATAATTTCTAAACCAAACTAAAACACTTCCTGTTATACCAAATGCCTTCAATTTACCTAACAAAATATCTCTATCAATAGTTTCAAATGCCCTCTTGTGTGCTATAATATGTGTTGATGATAATTCCATTTGTTTCTTGTCTCAAATAAATACACTTATTTGAGATTCAAAGCTGGAAAATTAGTTGCGCATCCACTTTTTCTTATTCATTCTGGAAATTACATAAGCGAATTTCAAAAATGAGAGAAAAAATCACTGGTTAGTGAAGTAACATGTGAGAAAATATGCTACAGACAGGAATACTTATGAAAGTGAAAAGATTATTACATTATTTTTTATTTCCAGTCATTAAAGTTTTATAGAAATTTATTTTGGGATGTCAATAGAAAATACAAATCAGCGCCTAGATGTGAGGCACTGCTAAAATGTTTCAAGTGTGATGTGTCATTCCTAATTTTTCTGTGATGAGGCATAAACAGAGATAGTGTTTTGTCTAGAGACCAGGTTTTTCGGTGGTTCAAGGTCCCTTTTTTCAACTACCTGTTTGCAGCGGTATTCTAAATCTATTTCATCTGACTAAAAACATCGTTTTTAATTTTGTTTTGTCATAAAATGCATTTTTTGTACTTTTTATTCGATCCTAACTTGTCAACAAATATTAGTACAGCTCTGAATATTCAAGTTTCGAAAATACTGCCACAAAAAAACTGTGACCCTCGAAACCCCCCCCCCCATTTTGTATCCTCCGAAACGTCAAAAAATGAAGTTTGAGCGATTTTTATTTATTCGTTTTTGACCTTTTCCTCAGTCACTACTGGACCGATTTCCAAAAGCTACAAACCTTTTTCGTTCTTGGCATGGTAGTAAACTTGTGTGAAAATTTCATGAAAATCCGAGAAGAACCTTCCAAGTTATAGACGGGCCAAGGATCACCGAACAGACGAAAATGAATGACATAATTTTTCGTGATTTACATGTATAATCTCCAAAACACATCTCAATTTCTAAATTTTTGGCGACTACAATACATGCTTCATCGCCAGTAGGCGTAAGAAGTAACAATATCTACTTTCAAAAATGAAATACGAATAATGTAATTTGATCTAGGTGAAAAATTCCCGTGTAGATCTTTAGGTCACATTAGTAGTGATTCAAGCATCAGCTCGCGGCGGTTGTACATCTTTTAGAAAGCAGTTTTAATCCCCGCGTTGATACGCAAAGACAGCCAACGGTCAATCCGGGGGATTTCACCGATCCGCGAATCAGATATGGCGATATAGCTACAGTCATTACTCATTAGTCATTCTTTTACATTGTGTTCACGCGCCAAGACATCATGGCACAACATACAAAACTTTCTCGTGTCCGTCCCGCAAGTTAACGTAATAACAGTTATTGTAACATGTGTCACAGAACATATTTTGATCGGAATAATATAATCGGATAAATTGGAGTTAAAATGAAAACCAAAATAAACGGGTTAAATCCATACTTTCCACAAAATTGCGTTACATTCGAATCTTTAAAAAAAAGGGCGTCAAGTAGATTGACTCTATACTTCCTAAGCCTTCGATGAATCTTTGACCTCTGCATATAAAACTATATAAAGCAAATCTACCATATTTCTGTATCCGTGTCAGATGTAGAGAAAATATGTATGACATGTATAAAGTCTAACAGATGCATAGTATCACAGATCAGCAGCTTCTTAATGATAGGTCTTTCACTGATATCAAATATGCAACAATTTACAACCTACAATTTCCATCCCCTCCAAAAAATGTCTCAAAATGAGCAGGAATCTCTGAAACCTTGTAACACTAGATTTTATTTACGCCGCCTCTAACTCAATTTTCAAAATCTACAAATACCTAAACGATGTCAGTATTAAACTCGCGATACTATTCGAACTTTGGTTCACAAGTTTTCGGTTGCTTAAAAAAATCTTCATCACATAAGTCTGTGTTTATCATTTGTTTGTCAGTCCGTGTCTGATGTATATCAATGCATCATAAGTACTGAGTCAATCTACTTGAAGAAATATTCCGAGAACTATCATAGATGGAGTAAAACTAATTAAAAGTTAGGCAAAATGGGTGGTACATTTAAGGAACATAAAATTCAGTCATCATTTAAAAAAGCATGCCAGAACTAAGAACGTTTTGGCATATATTGTTAGGTCATTTGTTTTTCTGATCAATCTGTCTTTCTGTACTGGATCTTTTCCAGATAGCTTAAAAATGGGAAAAGTAACTCCCACACACAAGAAGGGAGAAACTATTAACGCAAAAAATTACAGACTGGTGACGTCTCCCTGTTGTTTTTCCAAAATTTTCAAATAATGTTATAAAACTGGCAACTTATACAGGGTGTTTCAGTTTATTGTTGCATAACTTTAAGATTCGATAGAACTTTTAAAATTAATGCATAAAGTCTATATAAACTTGGGTCGAAAAATGAGTGGCTTCCGAAATACAGGGTGTTTAAATTTACTTTTTAAAATAGTTTTTTTTAAATATTTCGAACAATATTTGATGTATAACAGTGAAAATTGGTGTACAAGGGTTTTTTGGTACGATAAAACGAACCATGGGCATAGTTTTACTGTAGCCGCTAGAGGGCGCTCTCTACTGTACCTGTAGTGTATTAAAATGACCGAAAAATTTTTCTTAGTGCAATTTTTTGCTTTTTGAATAAAAAAACTGATTCCTCGCGCTTTTCTGCATTAAAAAGCTCTCCTGTGAGTTTTCGTTGTAGTTAGCCGTTTTTGAGATATTTCGATTTTTATGGTACGATGCATTTTTAATTATTTATGGGAAAATAATATTTTTTTTTACATTTTCGATTTGGGCATTACAAGTAATTAAGATGATCGTTTAGATTGTGTTTTTAAACACAGCAATAATTCCTAACTCCAAATAAACACAAAAAACAGAACATTAATTTGTTTAATTTTCCAATATTATTTTTAACAAATTAAATTAATTATTTACAACTAAAATGCTATTGGATAGTTAGGACAAACAGAAAATCTAAAGTAGTTGCTCAAAATGTAAACCCAATTGTTCAATACACAATTCACATCTACGAATGATCGAACGTGGTATAGCATTATTCAAATAAGGCCTTATTTCATCACATGCAGTCCTGATTCTTTCTATTAGCATATCTCTTGTGGTTACGGGAATCTGGTACACTTTTTCTTTTAGAAATCCCCACACAAAGAAATGTAATGGATTTAGGTCAGGGGATCGTGGCGGCCAGGCGACTGGTCCTCCACGGCCGATCCATCTTTCTGGATAATTTTCGTCCAGCCAGTTTCTAACTATTCTCGAATAATGAGCTGGACAACCATCAAGCTGGAACCAGGCCAATCTTCTTAAATCTCACATATCATCCCACATATT